GGGTTTACAACGTCCGTAGTAAATTTTTTGAAGCAAATTAAGTTAATGTTTATTTTCCCTCTTATTAGTATTTTCTACCCCAAAATATTCCATGAAAACTCAACAAGAACAATAAACTCTAAATTCTATAAATTCTGGGAAAATAGGGGAATAGATTTGTCTTTATTTCCTTGATTTCGTTTGATCTATTTGTTGTATAGATGTTTCTACTACCTGGTCCAAGATCTCAAGTGTATCGTGTTCTCCCTCATCGGTCTCCACTTCAAGATCAAGCCCATATAGGTCAAGAACACGTTGATCTTTGATAAAGATCTGGTTGAATAAGATCAACCCAGATTTTCTCAGAAGAAGATCAAGACAATCATCAAGATCATTGGAGCATTTAGACGTTTGAATTTTTTTGTGAACAAATTAATCATATTTTATTATGACACATTTGTCTAGTTCGAATATGATCTGTTTGTTATGTTTGTGTTCGTATGTTTGTATGTGTGTTTGTTTACACTGATCTTGACATTTTTTCAGATGAAATGACGTCAGATAAGGCTAGCAACAGGTGTCCTGTTAATCATTTTTATCAAAGCTTTAAACTGTCTCCTTTCCTTGATGCAAAATATTTTTTTATATAAGGAAGCATACATTTGAAATTTTTTTTCTTTATGGTTTTGAGTACAAAGTCTCGAACTGCGTAGGTCGGGGCCTGTGAAAGCGCTTCTGATACGAGCATGGCGAGAACGGTGGTCACATAGTCAATTTGGTACACAGGTAAATCTGGGATAATCTTAAACCAGAATATTTTTTACAACATTCTTCACGATTGGAGAGTTGGCAGTGATATTTAAAGTGACCAGTGACCAGATTGATGACCATTGAATAAATTGAGCAAAAAAACCCATAAAAGTATTAGCTCGCCCCCATAGCATTGCTAATTTTAATACAATCTGTGAGAAGTCTGCAGTCTGGTATTTTCTAGATGTTTTGATTCCTAATTAAATGATCATTTAGAATGAGGATGACCTGAAGTCTTCTCTAAATTATATATTATTAAATTATTTTGTTCAGATTAAGAGTGTATTGGGTAAAGGGGGAGCTGATGAAGATTCTGGCTTGTCAGACAATATCATTCAGGAATCTTTGCGAACGAATTTTTTTGTCTTATTTAATATGCGAACGTACATTTTTCCTTGACTAACTTGTATTGTCCAACTTTTTGTAGTTGTCCACTATCTTTTGTTTTGTTTGTTATTGTCTAGTGTTCACCATCTTGTTTTTGTTCACCATCTTCTTTTTGTCGACCATTTGTTTTTACCACGTTGCTATACGTATTTGTACTCCATCTTGTTTTTGTCCTCGGCGCCATTTGGGTTTGTTCTGAAGGTATAATTTGCAGTTAGCGGTGAATGGAGCAGCGCCAAACCAGCTTCTACTTTCACTCTTAGACCACTCCCTTGCCTCGCAGGTAAAATCATGGCACATTATTTATTAATGTCGACCTTTTTCCTCCCTGTACATTGTACAGCTGTGTACAGTTTATTGAACGTTAATGCAAGATGTTCGCTGTTTCCCCATTATGTTTTCTGCGCAAAATGCACATGTTTTTGTTTATTTTTCCAATGCAAAATATTAACAAAAGAAAATGGATAGATTGGATTAACCCACCTCATGAATTGATGAATCCTTATATCATTTTCTATGCCCGTGTATATATAAAAAATCGAATTTTAAAGAAGAAAAAAATCCAATTTGAAGAGAAAACAAGAAGATTTTTTAGTCTATGTCACCCCCAGGGTACTCAAGTATTAATTGAACACAAACAAATAATTTCCCTGAAAGATCAAATTCAGCAATTAGACCTCAATATCTTAGTTTGATTGAAAATATATTTTGTGGATAGTGTAGGGTGAAAAATAATGAATAATCTTGATGTTTGCAAATTGTTACTTTAAACATTTAGATTCCAAAGCTTAACAAAATTTAAACGGGATTATATTTTCTCTTAGATCCCCCCCCCTCCCCCCTAATCTTGAAACTCTTTTTTTCCACCCAGAAGTTATGTATGTCTGCGTGGGTTTTTTCGCTGAATTGGGGACAGTGAATTGAAGTTTTGTAATAAAAAAATAAAATAAAAAATCCCTCAAATCATCAAAAATCGTAATGCTGTTTTGAAAACAATTTCTGGATGAATATTAATGTTCAATGTATTTGAAGAGGTGGATCTGAGTCATGTATCCAACTGGGTACTAGTCTAGTATCCCTGGCTACATGGTTACTCAATACTGCTACACAAACAATATCCAGGCTAGCAGACAACAGGGACAGTAAGGTTAGTTGAATCTACTGACCATCCAGCTTTAGCTACCGTTGATTGATTGATGGACTGTTAAAACGAACAATCGAATTTACCAAATTATCCAAATAAACAAATTATGCGATTGGACTGCTCAGTGCTCACCTGGCGAATCGATGACCGACTAATTGCACAAACAAACAAACGAGCGAATGAATTTACGAACGAACAAACGCACAAACCAACCAACCAATGAACCAATGTCCTGATTTAGGTTGACGTAATTAATCTGAAGAAGTGTCTAGAGGTGCTGGAGTGGATGCTGAAGGATAAGTTCATCTCCTCCCTCGTCTATGTCGGAGGGTTCGAGGATATAGAAAAACATCAAGATTTCATGTTGGCAAGCTCAGGTTAGGCTTGAGAATGTTTTAGTAATTCAGGGTTTTATTCTTTTTTTACTCCCAATCCCCCCCACCCCACTCAGGAAAGTGCAGGAGTGGGGATAAGACTTAAAAAGCAAGCATGTTTTATCCTTTTTTAATGTGTGATGCCCCTAAATTCATTTATTTTCCCGAAATTAATTGGAATACGGGTTTAATAATGTTTTTTAATAATTTTTTTATTGCTGAGTTTTAAGGTTTGAACAATGTATCTGAGCAGGTCTATAAACTGGAATCAGAATCAGACGAAAATCCGGAGAATTCATTACAGGTTTGAAGCATAGAAAACAATTAAAATTTTTACTTTTTTATTTTTACTTTTTAAAGTATGCGGGCGTTCGTGTCATTTCGCTGGAGTAATCAGGACGTATAAACTAAAAGCGCACTTTAAGATATATATCAAATTAATAATTACAATGATTATGCCACTAAAGCGGTAATATTACATCGTCTATACGCAATATCGCCCCTACTGAACTTCTGACCTACTGCAATATCGCCCCTACTGAACTTTTGACCTACTAACTTTCCGACCTACTGCAATATCGGACCCACGCCAGCTGTTTATTTTGGTATTATTTGAAGGTTAGGTTAAGACAATTTCTGAGCCGAGCGCTGCGGCTAGGACAGGCTAGGGGCCGAGTGCCGCGACTAGGATAGGCAAGGGGGCTTGGCGTTGCGGCCACAAGTCCATCAGCAGCTGTAAGACCACGTGCTAGTAGATCAGATGTGTAGTATAGCGGTTTTGGCGTAGGTCAGAAGTGGGGTAGAGCGGATATGCGTAGGTCGAAAGATACACCATCCACTAAAGCATCTCAATTCTCAATTGTTAATTTTACGTTTAAACGCAAATTGTTCAGGCTCGAATTCAGGCAATAATACAATCTGTGAGAAGTCTGCAGTCTGGTATTCAGATATCGAAAGGTAAAAATTTATCAAGACGTCAAGGATTAAAATTGGAATTCTGACTTACAGCAGCTTGTTGAAAAGAAATACACCCCCCCCCCCTCATAAAAAAAACTCTTTAATTAACGGTTGAAAAAAAAAGGTTTGAGGTAAATTATTGAAAAGGGGAATTAAATTTACCACATTATGCCCATTTTTTTATTAAAAAATGTATCTTTCTGTAGTTAATGATAAAATGTTGGTTTAGATAATGAGACGAAACCCAGTTTGATATTTTCCATTCAAAGTGTTTTATCTTTTGATGTACTTCTTGAGCCCACCAGTGATCTCTCCCAGCTTGCAGGTCAACCAGAACTTTATTATTTTCCTAGAAACAAGAATTATTGACTTTATAGGTAGTTATTGGCAATTTATGGCAGTTGAACTGAGAATGTAGTATTGTAGAGTATTTTTTTAGGATTCATTTGAGATCTATCAGACTTTTTTTACGGTGCATAGTTGTTTTAGCAAGACTGCAAATTCAACCTAATCCTCTTAGATTGTCAATTTTGGAGGGATGATTTTTAGAAAAGTTTTTTTTTTATTATTCAATGACGACCACGAAAAATGTAACAAAAATTCGACAGTAAACTAATAAGTTGTTAAGGAACAGATTAAGATAATAAAGATTTACTCTTATCATCGAAAATGACTAATCTTATTTCTATCGGGAAATATGTTCCTAAACATTCAATTAGTTTATTTTAAATATTTTGTAAAAATTTTCGTCGTTGTTATTTAATACGATTCTTAAAATCATCTCTCCAGAATGGACAATGAAGGATGATTTTAAAGGTTGAATTTGCACTCTTGATGAACGTAAATGCACTGTAAGAATGTCCATACATTGCCGGTCACTCCCTTTAAAGATACCGATGACGTAATTTGAAGTGAATCTCCATTTAAAGAGCTACATGACCAATTCACAACGGTTCAGTTTTATCTAATAAACAAAGAGGAAGATATCGGTGTTAAATCTTGATAAATTCTATCAATGCCACTTTTATAGAGAAACTGCAAATAAAAAAACGCATAATTTTTGGTCACACAAACATACTTTTATAGAGAAACTGCAAATAAAAAAACGCATAATTTTTGGTCACACAAACATTGGAAGAGCGGTACAATTATTAATCGGGTATGTAAATTGTAACTCTAAAGATGGATAAAGGGTTATTTGAAATTTTGTCCACAGCCCTTTTAATGTAAATTTTCCAGTTAGTGTTATCTTGCTTTTATTGGATTAAAACTTCATTTGATAGCTGAGTTTATATAAGACTTAATATGAAAAAACTGGTTTTTTTAAGTCCCCAATTTTCTTTTTCAAGTTATAAATGAGGAGATGAAAAGTTTAATGTTGATGTATTATTGTTTAGAATGGAATAAAATATTTTTGTACTTTTCCAAACTTTAGTTTTTTTCCAGGACAATTAGTTGTTATCATGAACATACGAGGTGCAAAGCTCTCAGATCTAGGTAAAAAAGATTTTTAAAAACTCGAAGGGTATAAAATTTATGAGTTAAGAATAAAAAAATAAATTTTTAACTTACAACACATTTTAGTTAATTAACTTAGATATTTTGCCTGTTATGCGTTAAGTTTTCTTTCCCTCAAGTGCCATTGAGAAGCTATTTCAAAACAAAAATACTGGAATATTCTTTTTTATTTGAGTGACAAAGCGAAACACAAGATCAACCACGTGCGGCCAGACGAATAATTTTCCGATAGATATTTTGACAAAATTCATTTTTACAAATTTGGGCCCCTCCTTTTACTTAACAGCAAAGTGACACTAACCCATCTCCACTAACTAGTATTTGCGTAATGGGGGGGCAGAGTTTTCATATTTATTCGCACACTATTTTTTTAAACTGATTTACCTCCTTAACCATTAAACTCAGTCGGTTTCCAGTGACACCAGGTCGACCTTATGGGTCGTGCTACCATTAACCTAAAGGAGGGTTGAGGATTGCAAATAAGGGGAGGGGGAGGAAGGGTGTGTTTTTTGATAAATAACTAAAATCTTGTCTAGTTTGTGAGTTGACCCGTTGTTGTTTGCTGGGTATGAATGACCAGGATAGGCAGGAGGTTCTCCGATGGGACGCGTTTACACTTCTTAAACTACATAAACTAGTGGATAGAATTGTACATGAGTACAAGGGTAAGGTAAACAATAACTTTATTCTCAGTTTATATGTTGTCGTTTCCCGTCAGGTATGTACTAAATACACTCGATGAACATCAGTGTATAGGAAAAAGTATACCAACCGTCATTACATATACAATATACATCTTTTAGATATGAACTTTATGTACAGGATGTAGAAGGTAGTGTATATCAAGGACTAGATATGTACTCTACGTACTGAATGAACTCAATGTACAGGATGTAGAAGGAAGTGTATATCAAGGACTAGATATGTACTCTATATACTGAATGAACTCTATGTACAGGATGTAGAAGGAAGTGTATATCAAGGACTAGATATGTACACTCTATATACTGAATGAACTCTATGTACAGGATGTAAAAGGAAGTTTATACCGGGGACTAGATATTTACTCTATGTACTGAATGAACTCTATGTACAGGATGTAGAAGGAAGTGTATATCGAGGACTAGATCAACTACTACAGTACTCTGCTCTGCTAGATATGACGGATGCCAAGTGCAACGCAAACACCTTCGATCTTTTTGTCAAATCCTTCCCCTCAGAATTAGGAACTTTGATCAAAAATGTCCTAATATCTTATTCCTGTTTTTTTATTTTAAATGACTTTTTCTGAATGGTAAGCTTGCTTTGCTTAAAAACTTGTTTAACAATAAATATAGATTTATGGTTTTGCTTTATTGCGTAAAAACAGTTATTTGTCAAAAGAATGCCTTTAATATGGAATATTTGGATTTTTTGTTTTATTTCATTATTTAATTTGTTATCAGAGATGACATAATTGATCTTCTATTGATCTGTTTGATTGATGTAAAATGCTTATTGATCAAAATGTAACCCTAGTGACGGAGAATGAGAGTAAACTGCTAATCTCAGGGCGAGCTGAACAATTGAAAGAAAAACAACAGTTTGAAATCAAGGTATTATTTATTTTTATCAATCCAAAAAAGATTAGGTGGTCGAGTTCTGGTGCTTTTTTATTTGTAAAATAGATGTATAGTAGAATGATACTCGATTTAAGACTGTTAAAATGATTTTTTTTCTTTCATTTATCCTTTCATTCATTCTTTCATTCATCCTACTATTCATCCTTTCAGTCATATTCATCCTTTCATTAATCTTTTCATTATTTCATTCATTCTTTCATTCATCCTTTAATTCATTCTTTCATTTATCCCTGCCTTCATTCTTTCATTCATCCTTTCATTCTTTCATTCATCCTTTCATTCTTTCATTCGTCCTTTCATTCTTTCATTCATCCTTTCAGTCTTTCATTCATCCTTTCATTATTTCATTAATCTTTTCATCAATCTTTTCATTTATTCTTTCATTTATTCTTTTATTCATCCTTTCATTAATCCTTTGAATGCTTTATTCTTCCTATCATTCATCCTTTCATTTATCCTTTCATTCATCCTTTCATTCTTACTTTCAATAATCCTTTCAATGATTTATTCTTCCTTTCATTCATCCTTTCATTTCATTTATTCAATCATTCATACTTTCATTCATCTTTTCATCCTTATTCATCCTTTCATCATATCATTCATTTTTTCATTCATCCTTTTATTCATTCTTTCATTCATTCTTTCATTTATCCTTTCATTCTTCCTTGCATTCATTCTTTCATTAATTCGTCAATTTATTATTTAATCATTTTGTTGGTTAAAATTATTTACTAATTAATTTTTTGATTGATCGATTGATTCTTATCGGTTATAATAAATATATATATATATATACTTTTCAGGGTTCCAAGTTCTCTGAATCAAGGGATGTGACGATGACCCTAAAGGCGGATTCGACCCTGCACACTATCATCAGAACATTCGAGAACACGAGCATGGAGCAGCACGAGTTCGAGAATCTTCTCTCCGTCATGTTCCATATTGTAAAAGGTATACATTTTTTTCTGTTTATTTATGTCCAATTTGTAATACAGCTCCCCCATCCTTAAATTATTATTTTGTTTAAAGTAAACCCCTACATATGGCAGTTTAGTGTTCTTTAAGGCTTTAGTTTTCACCTTTCTTGTTGTCAGCTGCTACAGCTAGCAGAGAACTGAGACCGAGTCACTTTTCTGCTACTCTTAAGGTTCCAGTTTTAACCTAGTGCTGTCAGCAGCTACTGCTAACGGTGTACTGACATCCCTAGTTACTAAACTGCTGCATTCCAGGTTCTAGTTGTGACCTACTGCTGTCTTTAGCTGCTGCTTATAGAGCACTGACGTATCTAATTTCTAAATTGCAGCTGCCTAGGTTCTAGTTTTGACCTACCTATGCTGTTGGCATCTACGGCTTACTGCGTTGACACCTCTAGTTACTAAATTGCTGCATTCCAGGTTCTAGTTGTGACCTATTGCTGTCAGCAGCTGCTGCTTATAGAGCACTGACGTATTTAATTTCTAAATTGCAGCTGCCTAGGTTCTAGTTTTGACCTACCTATGCTGTTGGCATCTACGGCTTACTGCGTTGACACCTCTAGTTACTAAATTGCTGTATTTTAGGTTCTAGTTTTGACCTACTGCTGTCAGCAGCTGCTTCTAACGGTGCACTGACATCTTTAGTAACTAAACTTTTACTTTTCAACAAGGGTTGTCAAGAATCTATGGGAGAATCTAATAAGGTAGGAAGTTTTCTATTGATAAATTGATTGATAATTTATTTAAAGATAAAAATATATCCATAAAATAAAGCTCTTCGCTTATATATATATATATATATATATATAGTATTTTTTCAATTATTTCTTAAATTCCACGGGGGGCCTGGCACTTCAGTTAGTATTTTATAAAAATATAATTTGAGTGACTGATCTTAAATTTAATTTCATTAAAACAGTTTGAATAATTAATTGCTTGTTTAAATCGTAAATCATTGTTAAAGGTTGCGCAGAACCGAGCAGCTCTGTTCGATGTTACCTTCTTGATGTTAGTTCATGTTGTTCAGTGCTTCTCTGTATCAGTTCTACCCCCTGAAATACAGGTAAGGAAGACGAGGAGAGAAGAACTATTTTTGTTTAGTGCTTCTCTGTATCAGTTCTACCCCCTGAAATACAGGTATGGAAGACAAGGGGAGGAAGAAGGACCTATTTTGGTTAAGTAAATTGGAAATTAGATAGTTTAGTGGCAACGTCGACCGTATTTTGGATCAAACCTTCATCATAGTAAATATATGGGTTATGTGGGAAAAAAAACAATTAGGTTTGAAAAAGAATTTATTTTGAAATAAGAAAATAGCAAATGAAAGTTTTTATGTAACGGTTTTTATGGGGGTGGGGGGGGATCTAGTTTTTTTCTTTTCTATTTTACATAATAATTGATAAATCTTTCTTAAAAGCTTATATTTCTACAAAAGATAAGTTTCCAAATATTTCTTCATAAATTCTGTTGTAGGATGGATTTTTCCCACGGTGGGCCCGACTATGCATGACAGAACCAGGACATGTTAAACCTCTGGAGGCCTTCAAACAACTTGGGTAAGTGGATAAGGATAAGAGTTAAAAGGTAAGGATCTGGTAAAAATGTTATGTGTTTTCCCGCTGAATTGGGGAAAATAAATATTTTAGGGAAAATAAATATTTTAGGGGAAATTTTTTTGTTTTTGTTTGAAAAGTATGAAAACCAGTTAATAACCCTGACCCTAAATCTACGAAAATCACCCCTTCCCCTTAATGTTGCAGTTCCATTTTATTTTCCTGCCAAAAGCTTCAAAAAAAAGTTTCTGCTATTAGTCATGAGCTTATTGTTCATGCCATACCCAGTTTTCACTTCCGAAGCTTTTAAGGAATTTTTTTGAGACCAAAAATCTCCCAAACCCATTGACAAGTGCGCTATAAGCACAATTTTTGTGTATAATTTTAGATTTTGAGAACAAAAATATATTTGATTTTCTAATTCCAGAGGTGAGGAAAGTCTGGTGGATGGATTGCTTCAGCAGATGATGCAGGGAGAGATTAGAACTCAGGTTTGTACAGTGTGCCCTGTATTGTTTAAGCTAAATTGTACTGTATACCAAGGAGAATTGAATAGAAGGAGGGGGCGATTGGGTTTCCGAACACTTTACTGTGACGTTTTGGACTGCTGAAGAACTAGTTTTTGCGTAACAACAATAACAAAGGCAGCCGATCTAATGTAAACAAACAAGAGTTAGTATACGGTGAATCTTCATCTAACGCCAGAGATGCGCCAGATGTCTGTTTATGATTTTTGTTATTGTTTACAATCTTTATTAATGTTGTTACTCAAAAACTAATTCTTTAGCAGTCCAAAAACGTCACAGCAAAGTGTACGGAAACCCAATCGCCCCCTCCTCCTATTCAAATCTCCTTGCTGTATAGTGTTATATTTGAAAGGATACCCACAAAGGCGGGTAACAATACTCTAGTAGTCTTCAAGTCACACACCAATAATAGAACAAAGTAGTTGAACATTTATATTAAAGAGAAACAAAATGAAGGAATAAATAACTAAAGTCAACAGACACAGATTTGGCACTCAGTGATGGGTTACTCCTTTGGCCGGATACTCCTTTGCTGGATACTCCTTTGGCAAGATACCTCCTTTGGCTAGATACTCCTTGGCTAGATACCTTCAACGTGGTATCTCCTCAGGGCTGCATATCTCCTCAGGTCAATTATCCCCTCAGGTCAATTATCCCCTCAGGCAACACATCTCTTCTGGCACCATCTTTGTTCGGGTAACAAATCTCCTTCAGCATGTTGTTTTCCCACAGCTCCAATCTGTCCAAGCAGTTTCTGTTCCATTGGACTGACTGCTTCTTACCACTGTGGGGAGTTGGCGAATGTCTTCATCCTCTCCTTGTGAGAGCTGGCGCACAACTGGCTTCTTTCTCTTTCCCTCTCTGTGTTCTGAACCCAGATCCCGCCAATTCTTAATCCTGGCTGGTCAACCCCTGTAGGGGGGCAACACTAGATAAGGCGGCTGGAGCAGGGGTAGGGGGGCCAGGTTTGGGTTGGTTTGTCCTGAAGAATTTTCCATGCTCTATACCCATCCTCAGCAGGGAGGGGGGGGGGGGGTTTGGGGATGGTTACAATAGAGTGTATATTGTTTAGTGTACTTACACTGTACACTTAAAGTTTACAGTGTGAAGTAACAAAAACATTACATAACACCCGTCCCGTACTACCCTAGTTGAAAAAGAAAGATGTCCCTTTCCGTGCTTGTCTAATTCGGACCGAATCAGTGTTGCAACATTTTTATTTTGGAGTTTTCTTGATAGTTCTTTAATATTTAACCAAAAATAATCTTGTTCTCAACAACTTGTATTGAATTACTCAATAACCGTTTACCGTGACAACTGTACTGAGTGATCTTAATCTAGGTGATAAAGTGGAATCTTGTGTGTGCCAGCCTACATGATGTCATGAAGGAGATACTACTGGGGGTAGAGATGGAAACCATTAATTCAGAAACATACAACAGGTATTTAGATGCAACTCAAAACTGAATATTTTTCACAGTTTTGCAACTTCAAGCAAATCAACATTCTCATATAAGCTATGCAATTTTCAGCTTTTAGATTAATTCTAAAATTTGTAAAAAAAAAAAAAAAAAATTTAATATAGATGGATGCTTTCCTTACTATATGTGCTCTGAGTATTTTCATTTCTATCCTGTTAGCCTATCTCCTGTTTCAAATTGATCATTTCCGATTTCAGGTTAATACTACAGCTGTGCAGTAAACTGCTGTTTCTCTAAATGCATTTCCTGTATCTCCTGTTTTAGATTGATCCTTCAGCTGTGCAATAAGCTCTGCTGTTTCCATTTCTGTTTCTCCTGTTTTAGATTGATCCTTCAGCTGTGCAGTAAGCTCTGCTGTTTCCCTCTGTATCTCCTGTTTTAGATTGATCCTACAGCTGTGCAGTAAGCTCTGCTGTTTCCCTCTCTGTATCTCCTGTTTTAGATTGATCCTACAGCTGTGCAGTAAGCTCTGCTGTTTCCCCATCTGTATTTCTTCCTGGTTGATTAGTTCAGCACATTTTGGAGCAGGAGAAGATGAGATGAGTCGGAGAAGTATAATCTCAACCCTGGAGAAGTTTATTAACTCACCTGGAGGAGAAGATACTGATACTAGGAACCTTACTACTTCCAACCATACAGACAAGATTCATTTAAACAAAGTTTTTTATTTATTTATTTGTAACCAATGGAAATTACTATTCACATAATTCAATTAGTATTTTTTTAAATACCCTCATTTTAAAATTATGGTTTTCTTACTGTTAAATGGTTTTGCATAAAGATATTTTAAATAAATATATTTAAGAAAGTCACAGAAAGAAAAAAAGATTCTGATTTCATATAAAAATCAAACTTGTCATTTAAGAGTGTTACTTACTTGGAAAATTTGTCATTATCTGGCTGAACCAGTATTTATGGAATAAGTATAAATGTGAAGCAGACCCTTCTACTCAAAGAGGAACACCATGATGGTGAACATACTCAAGAAGATGAAGAGGGAGATGGGGGAGAAAATATTACCAGAGGATAATGCAGGTTAGGAATTGGGCTGATCAGTTGATGGATTTGAAGTGCTTATTGATAAATAGAAAATAATAATGTACATTAGTTGACGGGATTATTTTTTTAATTGGGGAAATTGAAAAGTCAGTTTTTGGCATTTGATGATATGGTTTAAAAAAGAATAGATATATTTATTGGTCGGTTGATTGATTGACTAAATTATCTGCAAATTTAATTGATCAATATGTAGTTTAATTGATTGATTGATTGGCTTATTAATTGATTGATTGATACATTGGTTGATAGATTGTTTTATATGTTTATGTGTTGATAGATTCATTTATTGATTGATTTTGAGTGAGAGCGCTTCAAGTTTGTGGTTTGACAATGGAGAGTGCCTGCCAATCATATGAACAACATTGTTTTAAATGAGAGATTGATTAAATGATTGACCAACTAAAAGATTGTCTAATTGGGCTATTTATTTATTCAATGATTGAAATATTGATTGATTGATTGGTCTATTTATTAATTTATTGATTTATTGATTGATTAATTTATTGATTCATTGATTTATTTATAAAAAATTGTGTTCTAGGAAAGAGTGGATTAAGTGTTTGGTTTGACAAGGTGTGGGATGGTATATGGGAGAACCAGGTGTTAAGTATTAGTTCTACCAAGGAGATAGCTCGCCTTCATACTACTGGCGGCACTCATTGGTTCGTTCATGTACTAGTGGAGAAGATCACATCTCAGGTATATTTAGTTCATTGGTTGGTTGTTGAGAGTAAAATAGCAAATAAAGATGTTTGAATAGCAAAGAAGTTGGCATATTTCAGCATTTTTGGTTTTCTTGAAATTTGGCAAATTTTACTAAGTAAATTGGCAGGTCAGGAGTGTCAGAAGACTTGGCATAAAAATCAACTGCATTAACTTTTATTTAATTGTATCAAGCTTTATTAAGTCAAATCAAACTGTTTCAGGTTTATCATATTTTTAGTTTTATATCAAATGTGCTTTCTTCCCAATCATAAAAAAAATGGTACAACTAAGAAGTGAGCATGCCAAAATTAGTAAAAATCTTAGTCTGCTTGGAAATCTTCACTTATAAATTGTTTTTAGATATGAATGTATATTGTGTATCTTTACTTTATTGAACAAATGTGTAGGAATTGTACATGCTGTGTGTTTAGGTTTACAGTCATGATGTTCAGCGTTGTACAGAGATGGTGTTTAGCATGCTTCATATAGACCTTGCTGGAAACACCCTGTCCCTTCTTCTCTATCTGCTTCCTAGTATTCTCACAGGTTAATATTTTTATAGTTGAACATTTTAGAAAATGGTTATTTTTTAATCTTAAAGGGTGTATCCCATTCAGTTCCATCTTAAATGTTTCTCTCTCATAGATAGTTATCCAGATACGGAGTCAACATCTTAGAATAATATTTAACATGAAACAAAGACGGGTGTCAAGATATCTTTACTAGGTGTTCAATACTAGTATAGCACTAGACTCCCAATATTATCATGGCTCTCTGATGACTTGATCAACTTAAAACCAGTGTTCAGGACAGATACGGAGTAAACACTTTAAAATAATTCCATAATGAATACGAGACGGGTGTCAAGATATCTTTACTAGGTGTTCAATACTAGTATAACACTAGACTACCAATATTATCATGGCTCTCTGATGACTTGATCAACTTAAAACCAGTGTTTAGGACAGATACGGAGTCAACACCTTAAAATAATTCCAAGATGAAAACAAGACGGGTGTCAAGATATCTTTACTAGGTGTTCAATACTAGTATAGCACTAGACTCCCAATATTATCATGGCTCTCTGATGACTTGATCAACCTAAAACCAGTGTTCAGGACAGATACGGAGTCAACACCTTAGAATAATATTGTAAAATGAAAACATGACGGGTGTCAAGATATTTATCTACATTCTAAATATACTTTGTGTTCAATACTAGTATAGCACCAGTATTCATTAGCTATGCTGTGTTCTAGTATTTATTAACTGGATACACTTAAAATGTTAGTTATAAACTATATTCGCTTTTGTTCTTGGTTCTTAAACAAACCCTTTCTTTTATAACTCTGATATTTAGCTCTTGCTAGCCTGTTATTATCTGTTTAGGAGTATCTAACAAAGATGTCCTCTGCTACCCTGCAGGTAGAGCTCTAGCCAAGCTGACCGTATCATGTCTAGCCGCTCTACTTACCAGTAAACCTTGCAGTCCATACTCAGGCAAACGGAAACTCCGGTAAAGATATTTGATCTTGATTTAGTATATTCTTGTGTCAGCTTCTCTTGTCTTAGTTTTTTTTTGTTCTGAGAATGCTCTTGTATGAGATTTTTTTTATCTTAGCTTGTACTTCACTTATTTTTCTCTTATCTCAGTTTTCTCTTGTCTTAGTCTTAGTCTTGTCTTAGTTTTCTCTTGTCTCAGATTGCTCTTCGATTAGCTTGCTTTTTTTCCTTGTTCCTTTTGTTTCAGCCTGCTCTTACTTAGCCTACTCTTGCCTAGTCTGATCTTGTCTTATCTTGCGTTCGTTTCAGCCGTTTCATAGATTTTTCCTAACTGGTATTTGTTTGATTCTTCTTAACAAAAAAAAATCTTTTCAAATGTTTTTTTGATCTGTAGTTTCGTCAAGTACACTTAACAGACAAAGATTAAATCTTCAACTTTGGTCGAAATATCTAGGATGGGTGAGTTAGATGATCTCTGTAATAACCAAACCCAACCTGTAAAGCTGAGGAAACTGACCGCTTCTGAGTCTATTCAAGTAGCTGCTGACGGTTCACTTACTCAGGAGCAGCTTATCCATCAGGTAGACCATGATAGCAGCTTTTATCTGAACCTGAAAATCTTCGCGTTGAATTAAGAGTTCTGTCCTTGTTCTAAAAAAGCTTTGACTTTCGATCTAAATTTTGCCAACAGAACAAAAATTTTTCGTTTTATCTCTGATGCGGTTTAGATAAAAGCACAAAAAGAAAGCTCTTTAAATTGTGGACTCAAACGCGAATGAACTCAAATATTAAGAAAGCCAAACATATTGTTTTCTTGGTTAGTTCTGGGTGACTTGAACGAACGTTTTATTTTGAAGGTTACTTTTTTATTATCATTACCTGTAATTTTATTATCCTTATTGTTGTTTGGTAGGCCCATGTTGGACTGTTTACATTACTACGTGGAGTAGCTCTGGAGTCAACCCTTAGCCCTAAACTCGAATTTGTATCCTGTATCCTTGAGGAGGTAGGAATCATTCTCATAATGTCACCAAACATTTACTTTGATTTTAGCCTGCAAATAGTTTTATTAGTTTTTAGCTCAAAGTATGGGGCTAATGTGACTCATTACTCTTTTTTTATAATTAAAAAAAATACTAGAGCTTTTTTAACCTATCCTTTTAAAAACTGTGTTCTCCTTGCTGTTTTTTCTTAGTTTCACTTAGTTTACAGTTTATGTCAAAGTCCCTTTACGCATTGTTTCTTTTTTTTAGTGTGTATGAGTAGGTGGAGAGGAATCCCTTCTCCTCCTACTCAACCCTCTCTTTCTAGACCTGGTTCATCACCTTATATTTATTGTTTAGTGTGTACAAGTAGGTGGAGAGGAATCCCTTCTCCTACTCAATCCTCTCTCCCTGGACCTGGTTCAGCATCTTATCAAACTACAACCTAACAGGTAACAGGATATATTCCTTATAGCTTATTCAGAGTTCAACGAGTACTGACTACTGGGTACAAAGAGTACCACAAGTGTATATATATTTAATTTTTTATCCCATATAAGCTGAAGTAAATTTTTTTATCCCATATTAGCTCAAGTAAATTTTTTATCCCACAATAGCTCAAGTAAATTTTTATCCCATATTAGCTCAAGTAAATTTTTTATCCCACAATAGCTCAAGTAAATTTTTATCCCATATTAGCTCAAGTAAATTTTTTTCAGTGTTTTCTTAATTTGGGTAAATAAATGTTTTTAGGGGAAAATAAAAAAGGATAAAAATTTGCCTTTGGATGTAAATTTTTCATTTTTGCTCCATTTCATTAAAAATAATTGTTTCTCCACCCCCCGTACAATGAGCTTAAAGAATACAAAAAGTAAAAAACAAACAAAGTAAACTCTATATTTTATATTTACTTTTCAGGTTCTCGGTTGAGGTGATTCTCCGCCTTTTTGACCCAAATTTACCCCAGGGGCGGAGGAATGCAGTATCCGCCCTCTGTCTTCATAGAAATATCAGAGCTAAGAATGTGTCCGAGAGTTGAAATATCTATTTATCAATGAAGAAATATTAAAAACGTTGTCTTTGATGATAAATACTGAAGACATTGTTCATTCTTGTTAAGGACCCCGGTACCTGAATTATATTTTTTACTTTTGTATTTGAATGTTCCAGAAGGTTTTTCAGGGGTGTATATATTTAAATAAATTATTTTTTTTGGAGATTGAGGGGAAAATGAAATTGGACTTGAAAAGGCATGTTTTTTCATCCTTTTTTATACTCAAAACTTTTTAAACCTATACCTGACTTTTGGGGAATAAATGATTTTCTAAAGAGGGGGGAGGGTTAATGATTTTTCAGGAAAAATATACCCTTGTAGTTTTTGTAAATAATATTTGCATCTGCTCATCTCCTACCTTTACACCCTTCTTGTTATAGATAAAATGCCAGGTCCACCTAAGAAAAGATACCGAAGGACTCCTAGTCCTAAATCTGGAACTGATGAGGAGGACTACCAGCCTTATATACCTGTCAGGTAGTCCTGTAGTCTCAAAAATGGGTGTTTGTTCAGTCTTTACTATAAATATAATATATTAACGCTATTTTATTTCAATATCGTATTTGTATACAAGTTCGAAGTAGGAAGAAAAGTAGTTGCAATAGTATAGGAACTAGGAAGTCCCAACAATACTGTAGTTCAGGGGGGAAATAGTCTATTAATTAACACAAATAGTCCAGTATATTTAATTGCCCATTTACTCGGAGATTTATTCCCAGGCTTTCCCCTCGTAAGTACTTTTCATTCCCTTTAAACAAGAAATCAAATATGACCGGGAAAGAAGGGCGGCCATAAGCCGCAAATACATTTCTTTCGTGGCAAATTTTAAAACTGTTTTTTGGAAGCAATTTAAGCTTCAACGCTCCATAATTATAGTTCATAATTAATGGCAATGTATATTACTTGTAATTCTAAAAAATCCCGCCATTTTCTCCAACCTCCGTTCTCCAAAATAGAATTTACCAGCTCAGGAGACGCAACAATTCACAACCGTATCAGTTAAACCTTCGACTTCTCAAGAATTCCGGACATGTCCTTATTTATCTACGGAAATTATAGAACACTTAGTTTGCAAGCTGTTAAATATTATCATTAGTCACTTTCTAGAAGTGGGAAGTGGCAAAAAATAAATTGCTTTCGAATTTTTGAAAAGTAAAATTTAAATATAAATTTGGCTTGTCTGTCTGTTTGTTTCTTTGTTTGTCTGTCTGTTTGTATCCAATAAACGTCAAAACAGCTGAACCGATCGGGCCCAAATTTTTTGTGGGACATCTAGGGACCCCAGGGAAGGTTTATGAATGATCAAAATTTCAAAGATTTGTCTCCATCAAAATTCGATCTTCATTAAATTTTTTAAAATTTTGAAAATCCACGAAATTTTTTGTGAAAATCCGCGAATTATTTTTGTTTTGTTTTACGATGTACACAAAGAGAACATGTTCACAATTAATTTAGAAGATGGGCGCGAAGCGCCCTCTTAGGCTAGTATTCTATAATCACGACGGACGCAAGAAAAGGGTCAGCCGGTTGTTTCAGCAATTCACCCGCTATTCGAGAGATTTATACACTGTGCTCTTAGTACTAGATAAACAGTTCAATATTTCAAGGTTACCTTTGTAAATCAGGTATTACCCTCTTTTCATAGAGGGTCAAATTGAATTTTCCCTTACGATCCTTTTAATTCTTACTCCATGATTTGCTTTTGGGTCTGTTGAGAACCGTTCATCCTCTTTACAGAAAAGTAAATAAATGATAAATTTTCAGGGAGCGTAAAAAGCAGCAATTAGTAAAGCTAGGTCGTCTTCAACAAGTACAGGTAAAAATAATTTTTAGTTAGTCTATCTTAAATTCATACAATGAATATTATTTTCATTCACAAAATCGAGATGGGTTTTGGAAACTAAAATTATGACGAAACAAATCTTTGAGAATAAGACTATTTGAACTTTACAGTATATGACAGGTTTCTTTTTAACAATCAGATATTTATTACATAAAGACTCATTATTATTAACAATAAAATTATCACAAAATACGACAAATCCTCATTAGGGAAAAAGACTCTGGTGGTCTAGGTTTTTATCAATTTAGGTTTATTTATCATTTATTATTAATGATTATCAACAATTGTCAATTATTGTCAATTATTAATGATTATCAACAATTGTCAATTATTGTCAATTATAAATGATTATCAACAATTGTCAAGAAAACTGGTTTCCAGTTTTGATGTTATGTGGACATCAGTTTTAGGTATAGAATCATTGCACAAACTTTANGGGGGGGGGGGGGGAAGATTTTTGGAGATCTGGGGTGGAAATAAAAATTTGACATGAAAAGGCTATCTTTTTATTGGGGGGCGCCAATTTTGCTTCAGGAAAATATATACAACCCTGTTCACACTAGGTTTGTACAAACCAGTTCACAATACAGATTTCAATGAATAAACTGTGCTCACTATACAGTGTACACTATGAACTCATGCATAAAGTTGACCATGTTAAAGGTAGAAGAGAAGAGTGGGAGAAATTTTTCTCCGAGCTCTGGAACTGCAACGGAGGAGGACGAGGAGAAAGAAGAGGAAGTACCAATCTCTGTCAGGAAACTAGTGAACCAGACATTTTTTAACTTTTGAAAATTGATTTAAAGGAACAATTTTTGCTGTTTGTTCAGTTTAACATCTTTTTTTAAATTTAAACTTACATCAGATTTACCGTTTATAGACGCGGTCTGGGGGGTCTCTTTAAAAAAAAGATCATTTAAATTGATCCCAAATTAAATTAGGTCCTGGGTTTTCAAATAAGAATAGTAATAACAATAAAAAAAATTGTGTCTAGATAATTAACAATATTTTTTCATGAATTATTAAAAAAAATTGTAATGTTCTTTTTTTAGGAGGGAATAGCATTTACTCGTGTTTTATTTTTTAAATTAAAAAATTCATTCATTTTTAATGATTTGCGCAATTACACCCCCCCCCCCCCATCTTCTCAAAAATCCGTAACTGAAAGGTTCTTTTTGTCCCGCAGTGTTGAGCCGAAGGTTGAGACCAAGAAGGTTGAGACGAAAGAGCTGTGGCGAGCTGAGGAGGAGTTCCTGGAGAAGAACAAAAACGTGTCCCTGCTGGAGCAGCATAAGGAGCTCCAGGAGATAGCAGATCAGAGAAAGGAAACTAATATTGAGAAGATGAGAAGAGAAGAGGATCGGATTCTTCAGGTCACATTTCAGTTTTTTAGATTTCTACAACAAAATTAAAAATAATTTGATTCTTTCAATTTTTCTAGAAAAATATTTGGGACCAGATTAAACCAATAGCGAGACATTGTTAAACCTGTTAACCAGTTCTCTTATGCTTGAACTGGCGAACAAAGGAAGTGGTTCAGCTAAGTCTACGCGGTTCAACTTTGTGCCGCTATATGCATTCTGGTCCCTGGCTAGTGGCTATATTTTTTTCCTCAAGTGTTTTTATTTTTTTTGGAATGGAAAATTGGGGGACAAACTTGATGTTTTAAGATTTAATATTATGAATATTGTTCGTTAGTTAAATTAGTTATAGCAGTTTCAACTTCAGAGTACACAGAACTTATCTGTATTGTTGTTTAGTCTGTAGGAGAGAGTACAGCTCTAAAGGTTGAATCTGAGTTAGCTATGGGAATAGAGTACACAGAACTTATCTGTATTGTTGTTTAGTCTGTAGGAGAGAGTACAGCTCTAAAGGTTGAATCTGAGTTAGCTTTGGGAATAGAGAACACAGTACTTATCTGTATTATTGTTTAGTCTGTAGGAGAGAGTACAGCTCTAAAGGTTGAATCTGAGTTATCTATGGGAATAGAGTAAACAGAACTTATCTGTATTGTTGTTTAGTCTGTAGGAGAGAGTACAGCTCTAAAGGTTGAATCTGATTTATCTATGGGAATAGAGTACACAGAACTTATCTGTATTGTTGTTTAGTCTGTAGGAGAGTACAGCTCTGAAGGGTGTATCTGAGTTAGCTATGGGAATAGATTACACAGAACTTATCTGTATTGTTGTTTAGTCTGTAGGAGAGAGTAAGCTCTGAAGGGTGTATCTGAGTTAGCTATGGGAATAGAGTACACAGAACTTATCTGTATTGTTGTTTAGTCTGTAGGAGAGAGTACAGCTCTGAAGGGTGTATCTGAGTTAGCCATGGGAATAGAGTACACAGAACCAATTAAAACATCCTGGAAACCTCCAAGGTGAATTTTTAAATCAATGAATCCTAAAAAATTAAAAATATAAGACAAGAATATTGTAAGTTTCGGAGAAAAGATAAAAGATTATCGTCGATGGCAACTTTCAACCTTTTTCTTAAAAGACAAGTATTAGAGATTATCTTTATCTCAAATATTACTATTTTATTGGGCCACCTTTTTGCAATTAAAGGTTTGAAAGTACTGTTTTTCATCGTTTAAGCGCAGCGCTCATTGTAAATTGTAAATAACTTCATGAACAAAAAAAATTCAAATTCTACAATAAACATGGTCTCTTTATGCAGGTATATTCAGAGTATGCCTAAGGCGAGGCATGACCGTGTCTGGAAAAAATATGGCATTGATGTCGAAGGAACAAATTATTGTCAAACTTTAAATTTTATTAACATTTTTCATACTATTTTATTTTTTTGAGAAAAAAACAATCACTTTTCATTGTTGAGTTTTCTCATTTTTTTTTGAATTATATTAGGATAAATATAAAAAATGCAAAAAAAATCAAATTAAATTATAAATTAAAAAATCACATTCTTCAAATCGGGTCTAAAAATATTTGATAATATTGTTTGGTTAGGGATTGATCCTCCCCCACCACTCAAATCCTTCAAGGATATGAAACTTAACAAGGAAAATAGTTTTCAATTTTTAAATGTTAAAAATGGTAGAATTGTTTTTTTTTAAGAGAGTGTTCCCGGATTAACTTGACAATTTATATAATTTTGTTATTGAAAAATATCTTGAAGGTTATGGTTGATACCCTGACTAAAAGGAAAATAGAGAATCCTACTCCTATACAGATGCAGGTAATCATTTTTCTTGGTGTGTCCGCACGCTCCTGTTATTTGTCTGTTTTTATGTTTTTGTTCGGTGCTTGCCCCTTCGTATCTTCTTTTGTCCTTTTATTTTTTTTTGTCCTCATTTGTCCTATTTTGTCCTCTTCTTATCTTGTATCCGTATCCTGTTCTTATTCTTTCCGGCTCGATTTTATGTCTTGTAACAAGTTTTGTCTTTTGTTTCATATTTTGCAGCTTCCATCAGAATCCAGAAAGCAAAAATGTTGCGGATCAGGATCAGGGGCGGATACAATGGTTCACCCCTGAAAATGTCCCCCCCTTTAAAGCACTGAGGAGAGAAAAATCCTAAACTGATGTTTAAAATGTAAAATATTTTTTATTTGTCTTGAACAATATATATATTATAGGGTTTGCCGACTGTACTATCTGGACGGGATCTGATCGGTATAGCCTATACCGGAAGCGGGAAAACCCTAGTCTACGTTCTCCCCATCATTATGTTCTGCTTGGAGCAGGAGGCGCGGTTACCCTTTGCTAGGGACGAGGGACCTTATGGTCTAATCATTGTTCCGAGCAGAGAACTTGCAAAACAGATTCATGAGATTATAGAGGGGTTTACGAAAGATCTGACCAAGAACGGTATGCCACAGGTAACACAGAGAGAAAGCTTTGAACTCTTTATCTTGTATCCATAGAGAATAGAATATATAGAGAGGAATTAAAAGAATCTCTCGGTATGAACTTTTTCAGTCCCTTTCAGCCTGAAAGGGAGTTCAAAGTGTATAAATCATGTAAATGTTCACAAATTATATGCAGTAGAGTACATTAATACAGTATGTTCCCTAGACTATTCAATATTCATTTCAATTTCGAAATTTTTAAAGCTGTTAAATAAACTATATAATGAATTAGGTGAATAAAAACATCATTTGATTTATTAAATCATCGTTTGTAAAGTGGAAGGCATAGAGTCTATGTGAAATTATCATTGGTCAATTATGAAACCAGCCTATTTCATAATTTGGTTTTCATTTAACAATAATTTTAGATTTTCTATAAAATTATATTCCAGGGCCCAAAAGGTTATATTGCGTAAATATATGAAGTACACCTGCAGTATGGAAACAGTACAACAAAATGGCCGTTTTACACTTTTTTCTAGTAAATTCCTCTCTCTATATATTCTATTCTCTATGCTTTTATCGTAGAACTGAGATGAAGAAACTAACTGCCTAGTCCTCATACTCAAGTTTTATCATTCTTATATCTAAGTATTGAAAGGTTTTAAACCACCAGTGGCCGAATTTAAAGAATTTAAGCGGCGGTTTAAATTTAAGGCGCGGCTTAAATATGGTTGGTTCCACTTAAAATTTTATCAAATTTTTCAAGATTTAAGCCGGCGCTAAATTTAAACCGGGTTTTGGTGGATTTAAACCGCCGCTCAAATTTTTTAAATTCCATCTCAGGTTGCACAGCATTGTTGATTAGAAAATTGGAGTTGAAGGCCTCATGAATTTATCCCCGGAAACTCTTAACTTTTGTTACAGAATATGTGCTTCAGTTTCTAAGAAGTGAATAAACCAGTAAAAGTCAATTTTATCAAGTTATATTGAAACTGTAGCACACATTGTTTTGTCAACAAAGTTATGGAGCTCCCTGCTCTTTACCGAGAAGAGCTCGGTATTAGAACATTAAAAACATTTTTATACTTAAATTGAAAATTAAATGTTCAGTTACGAACATGTTTGGCTATCGGAGGGATGCCAACAAGTGAAGCTGCTGACGTGATCAGAAGCGGAGCTCACATGATGGTTGCTACTCCTGGTCGACTTATGGACATGCTTAACAAGAAGATGGTCACTCTGGATGTTTGCAGGTAACAGTTAAGCTAGTAATTAAGGTCTTTCACTTTCTCATTATCCTTTATAAAGCTCGCCACAAAACCAATTTAAATGGAAAGGACAGTCAAACTATTTTTTTTGGTGAAATGAACTAGTATTTTTCACAGATACAGAAATTCAAACAGGTAGTCTGTGAGTAGTCTTATACTACGCCTGGACAAGTTACCCCTGGCCCACTATTTAAAGGCGCCTTACCTAGGGTGTGGTAATCCAGGTAAAAAATCCTGTAGAAGGATGAATGAACTCTTGTAGAAGGATAGATGAAAATTCCTGTAGAAGGAAGGATGAATTCCTGTAGAAGGATGAATGAATTGCCATAGAAGGATGGATGAATCCCTGCAGAAGGATAGATAAATTCCTGCAGAAGGAAGGATGAATTCCTGTTGAAGGATGAATAATATCCGGTAGAAGGATAGATGAAGTCCTGTGGAAGGATGGATGAAGTTCTGCAGAAGGATGGATGAATTCCTGTAGAAGGTTTAATGAATTGGAATTAGGATGAATGACTTAATGTACTGAACTGTTAAAGTAAGGATGAATTTCGGTATGAGGGTGAATACACTCCTGTATATAGGGAAATGAATTCTTGTACTAGGATGGGTTAGTTGAAATCCGTTAGAAGGATGATTACATTTCTATATAAAGATGGATGAAAATTCCTGCAGAAGGATGAATGAATTCCGGTTGAAGGATGAAAGAATTCCTGTTGAAGGATGATTGAATTCCTACAGAAGGATGATTGAATTCCTACAGAAGGATGATTGAATTCCTACTGAAGGATGGATGAATTCCTGTAGAAGGATGAATGAATTTCCATATAAGGATGGATGAATTCATGCAAAAGGATGGATAAATTCATGCAGAAGGAAGGATGAATTCCTGTTGAAGGATGGATAATATCCGGTAGAAGGATAGATGAAGTTCTGCTGAAGGATGAATGAATTCCTGTAGAAGGATGAATGAATTGAAATTAGGATGAATGACTAAATGTACTGAACTGTTTAAGTAAGGATAATACAATCCAGTATATGGGTAAATGGATTCTTGTACTAGGACGGATGAGTGGATGTATTAGGATTAATGAAATCCGGTAGAAGGATAATTGCATTCCTATGGAAGGATGTTTGAAAATTCCTGCAGAAGGATGAATGAATTCCGGTAGAAGGATGAAAAAATTCCTGTTGAAGGATGAACGAATTCCTGTTGAAGGATGAACGAATTCCTGTTGAAGGATGAATGAATTGCAATATGTCAATGGGTAAATGGATTCTTGTACTAGGACGGATGAGTGCATATAGTAGGATGAATGTAACCAGGTAGAAGGATGATTGCTTTCTTATAGAAGGATTAATGAAAAGTCCTGCAGAAGGATGAATGAATTTTACAAAGAAATAAACCATCCGTTGTACCGGGCCTATGTCCCAATAGGGGATGGGTGGGTTGGTGGATGTCAACCTTGGAAGTCGGTTTACTCAGGTTCCCGAAATTCCAACACCCGGTGTGCTTACATCCAGGGTTCAATAATATAACATGCCCTAAGCGGTTTTTAAACAGACTGCCCCAGGCGTGGTTGTACAGTGTACAGTGCACATGTACCGTTAGGGGAAGTACTGATGGGTGTGACTTCCTAGATGGACCAGAATATCCCCAGGAGTTTCGTTTAATAATAATAAGAATATGTCAAATATTTAGCTTAACAGTGCAGATAAAAAAAAAATCCTTTTTTGAGTATCCTTCTAATGTTATTTTAACATTCTACCTACACACCAGGTCTTGAAGTCATATATAATTCATGTTTAGTAATAAAAAATATTTTTGTTGTGGGGAACAACACGGTAGTCACTTTGGCCAAGTTGTTCAAAAAAACGTAAAAATGCATCTGGAAGAAATCATAGCCATCAGATATTCTGTCTCCTTTTCTTTTTTAGAAGAAGGCCCCTTGTTTTTATATATTGCATCCCTAATTAGATCTTCAATAAAATTTGTTGTCTACAATGAATCAATAGGGGTCTGCAATGGCGCTTAAATGATGATGATTTCTTCCCAAACTCCAATTAAAAATGTTCATTCTCTAAAGATTCTTAAAGGGACAGTAAAGGAAAAATGAAAGGGGGTATAGGCTGAAAGCTAATCACTTTAGCTTTTAATCGCGACCCATGAAAGTTTTATCTAATGTTCCTGTCTCGAGAAATTGATATAAAACTGTGTTAAAATTATACGAAAGTTCATATATGTAAAATTTAGAAAATCTCAAACTTAAATCACGTGACCAGAACTATCACTAATGGCAGAGCAGTATACTGGTCACGTGTCTCCGCCTGTATCACGTGACCACTTTACTGGGATATCATCGTTTTCAGATTGGTTGCATATTTGCTGAATTTGATCTTTTTAAACCCACTACTTTTATACAACATTGTATCTATATTAATTTTCGGATAAATTTGACAAAGTTGTAAATCAGTTTCTCGACATAGGAACATCAGATAAAACTTTCATGGGTCGCGATTAAGAGCCAAAGTGATTAGCTTTCAGCCTATACCCCCTTTCATTTTTCCCTTACAGTCCCTTTAATCCTAGTGCTGTCTAGGTATTTATGTTTGGATGAGGCGGACCGAATGATAGATATGGGGTTCGAAGATGACGTTAGAACAATATTTTCATATTTCTCTGCACAGAGACAAACCCTGCTCTTCTCCGCAACTATGCCAAAGAAGATTCAAAACTTTGCAAGGTAATTAATTATTTTCTTTATTTCAAGTAAAAATCTTTTGATGCGCTATTTTTGCTACATTCTTATTATTATTCATGAATTGAAAAAAGGTCAAAAATAAAAATTAAGTAAAATCTGCTGAAGAGGGAAATAAAAAAATGCACTTCTTGATTTTTGACCTAATTAAAAATTTACACATATTTTTTAAGAATTGAAGAATAAAATCCACAAAACTTACCAAGAAAAACGCCACGGGTCGGTTATATTATTGAAAATATCGTTTTTGTTGGCCCTTGGATACATTTTTGATTGGTTTAGCCGTGTTTCAGATTCTGAAAGTTTTTTTTTTCAGATAAGTTAACAATTCCTTTATATTAAAGTATTTGTTCCCCTCTAGATCCGCCCTAGTCCAGCCTATCCTGGTTAATGTTGGTCGAGCTGGTGCAGCCAGCATGAATATTATACAGGAAGTAGAGTTCGTACAACCGGAAGCAAAGATTGTGCATATATTAGGTAGGTTCAATTATCATTTAGAACATAGGCTCTTCCTTGAGAAAACTAAAAAAATAAAGTCACTCTTTGGCGTCTTGGAATATACTTTGAACTTGGTTTTAATTATTTAACAGAACAGCAGAAAAGTTATGATCACTTGATTGGTTGGTTGGTCGGTTGGTTGGTGGGTTGGTGGGTTGGTTGGTTGGTGGGTTGGGTGGCTGGCTGGCTGGATGGATGGCTGGCTATTGGGTTGGCTGGCTGGCTGGCTGGCTGGCTGGCACGTTTGTTGTTTGGTGGGTTGGTTGGTTATTTAATTTGCTTTGTTTTCAGATTGCCTGAAGAAGACGTCTCCTCCTGTTTTAATTTTTGCAGAAAGAAAACAGGATGTAGACACTATTCATGAATATTTACTTCTTAAGGTAAACATTTCTGAATTTTTCATAATGTAGAGGTTAAGGGTGTTTGAAGGTGGATAAAGAAATGGACTATTATCTATGAAATTAAAAGTGCTGGTGAATATGCGATTTGTAAATTTTTAGTTAATGATTTTATAAATGAATTTGGAGCCGCATAATTGATAAAAAAATTGTTGATTGATTGATTAACCGATTAATTAATTGATTGATTGAATTAAATGAAAGAGTGAAGTAATTTAATAATATAAATGATTTACTGATAATCTGAATCTAGGGCTGCCAGGCAGTTGCTATTCATGGTGGAAAGGATATGGAGGAAAGAATACGATCCCTGTCTCTCTTCAAAACATTCAAGAAAGATATTCTAGGAAATTATCAACCTCGTCTATAAAAAAAAATTATTGTCAGTTTGTTAGTTATTACATTCAGGGGCGTATTCAGGAATTTGTCCGGGGGGGGGCTTAATTTTTTTTCTTTCCAGAGGGGGGCTCAGTATCCATTGGGGCCTGAAAACCTCTGAAATCAATAGATTTCACTGGTTCAGGGGGGGCTTAGCCCCCATAGCCCCCCTCCCTGAATACGCATCTGATTATATTTGCCATGAATTTTTTTCTTTAAGTATGTAAAATTTATGTAATTTTAATAATCCTTTGAATCATTCTGGCTTTAAACACCAGAATTTTTGGATTTATTAATAATAACAATTGCAATTAATTAATTTCTGATCTGATCAATGTTCTTCAAAATGTATGGAACAATCCCTTTAAATGAAGAAAGCATTTGTCAGATTGATGATTGTATAGTTGCAACTGATGTAGCAAGTAAAGGTCTAGATTTCCCTGAGATACAGCATGTTATCAACTATGATATGCCAGAGGATATTGAAAACTATGTCCACAGGTAACAACAATTCTTTAACAACCCCCCGCCAACGTTATTGTAATGTGACGAAGGGACTGTAAGCGTATTTTCAAGTGACCCTTCATGCAAATATAGCAATGAAACCTTATTCTGAAAAGAATGTTAAATAAACTTAGTTTTTCTGACACAAAATGTTTTCTTTTTCTGTTAATTTCTCCATTCATTTTTTTTTACAGGCAAGAAATATGCATTGTGCAAGTCACTTGTGCAGAGAAACCAAAAATGAAAAAAACGTCTAACTCGTACTTGATCAGAGATAACTTTGAAGGGTACAGTTGTAAATCGGACATTGCCATCCTAGCCTGGATGTTCACTTAAGATACACCTTACAGTCCCTGTAAGTTAGAAAAATAATCAATGTTTAAAATTCTAGGATTGGAAGAACAGGTAGAGGGAAGAACACAGGAATAGCGACAACTATGATTAACAGTAAGGTGGACGAGGCTGTCCTCTCCGACCTCAAACATCTGCTCATTGAAGCTAAACAGAAGTTGCCGCCGTTCCTGGCCTCCATACAGACAGAGGCTGACGTCATGAATGAATATATGGGTATAATATTCACTTAACTTTTTATTTTTGCATTGTTTGTTAGATTTTGTTTTGTTGACTGATTAATTTAATAATTTCTTAATTAATGTGGCGTGGAAAAAAGATGAACCTACCTTCCTTCCAAACCTTATCTGGCATAGTAACATGGATTGATTGGTTGATTGGTTAGTGTGTGTGTTTTGAATCTGATTTTTTGTTTTATTTATTGGTTGGTGATTGATTGATTTACGGATTGGTTAGTCAGTATACTGATTGAAATATTGACTGACTGACTGAGTAATGATTGATTGATTTTTCTAGGAGATGGTGGTTGTTCTTACTGTGGTGGTCTTGGGCATAGGATTACGGCATGTCCTAAACTGGAAAATGTGCAGAACAAGAAGGCCGGGGAGGTCGGGAAGAAGGACTACCTTGCCAGCAATGCTGCCGACTACTAGATTTGTAGGACTTTCTGTCTTCAGACTATTGATTGTTTACAAGGTCTTCATGTTCTGGCTAAAAGATTGTATTCTGAAGACACGAGTCAGCATAAAAATTGCTTGGTGGAGATCCATTCTTATATTCACTCTGTTTACCTGTAATTAAAGAAACCAATAAATAGAAATACTTTTTTCAGATTTCAAATGAGTTTAAGATGTTTTGCTGTCAGCAGGTTTACAAAACATTTAGTTCAAAACAACTCCTTCTCAACACAAAATCCTAGGTAACAGTGAATACAAGAAATTTGTTGTTAAAACTTTAGAGCAAGATGAAACAAATTTTTATTCTATTAAAATTACAGTTTTCATAATTTGCCGCCATCTACCTAACTTACCCTCATTTAAAACTACTGCTGTTTTGCAAAGTTTGCGTAATCCTTATTTTAATACCAGGTTCAGAGGCCGAATTTAAAGAATTTGAGCGGCGGCTTAAATTTAAGCCGAGGCTTAAATATGGTTGGTTCCACTTAAAATTATATCAAATTTTTCAAGATTTAAGCCGGCGCTTAATTTAAACCGGGTTTTGGCGGATTTAAGCCGCGGCTTAAATTCTTTAAATTCGGCCTCTGGACTCCTGGGGCTTAAGCACTATACAGGAATTTGTCCAAAGGAATATTTTTCTCTCCATGGGTCTTAGTATTCGTTGGTGCATTCAACCATCTTTGTAAAAATATTCGGACATTTAACTCTCAAAAGATGATAAACTTGCTCACTGCCTTTTGAACAACATATATATAGTTTATTCCCATCAGACAATTATGTAAAATAACCACAAGTTTTTTTTTTAATTGTGCATTTTTATCTTAAAAGACGATAAACTTGTGTACAACTACTTTTTTGGGAATTTATAAATTTTTCTTGACCACAGGTTCCCTCGCTATGTTCTGGATGTTTTGTAAACAAAATTTGTCTTGGGAACCCTTGGTTTCAGAGGAAATAAAAAATGACTTCTCTTCCCTGTGATGTAGATTGTAAATGATTAAAATTTATTTAATCTTGTCCGAGGTTTCTAAACTAATTTTGACTTAGGGATTTCCTAAATGTGGTCCGTCAACTAAGAAATATTCCTTAATATTATTATTACTAGATTCAATTATGGAAATCGCAAACAACTTAAATATCAACAAAAAATAGTAAAACTGACATTTTTCTGGATACGGAATAATGATTACTGGCTATTATTTGATTAGATGATTATAGGATTGGAGTACGGAGTTTAGGCAGATGTACAGCTTTAGCTTCCGACAAACATCTTTTAGAAGAACATTCACTCAAGGTAAGAAGTTGACCCTCATGGCTACAAACTAGGTCGTATGAAAAAATATAATATGTTAGACTCGCATATAACGGGCTGCATCCTGATGATGGTCTAGGGGTTCAATGCACGGTTCCTTATTAGATCTTTTTATTTTTTTTTTATAAAATATAGTGAACGTATTTATCAAATCATAATATCTGGATTCCTTCTGTAGTAGTATTAACGGTGAACTCAGAGATTCTGTTCTCCGTCCAATGATCTCCATTATACATGTTCCATCCTTTAGAGGAGTACTATGGGTGATCTTAGAGATAGATATGGTTTGGTAGTCCGTCCTATAAACTCCTTTGTTTAGCTTCCATCCCTTGAAGGAGAACTAGGGGTGGTGAACTCAGAGATAGAGACAGTATTCCGTCCTATAAACGCCTTTGTCTAGGTTCCATCCTTTGGAGGAGTACTATGGGTAAACTCAGAGATAGATACAGTAGTCCGTCCAATAAATTCAATGGAGGATATGCAGATGGACAAAGCCCTAGTCAAAGTAAGCTTTAATTAATGTATTATATGATGATATCTAAGAATTAAAGACTGAAATATGCCTGGTACACTTTTAAAGAGCGTTTCTTAAAATTGCTTTGGAGAACTTGATTTTAGGTGTTTACTGTTTATTGCTTAACTCAACACGTCAGATTACAGAAATTACGCACTCAGTTTTTGCTAAGATTTAAGTCCAATTTTTATTTAACTGAAAAATCTGCATTCTGGGGATAAGGCGATGTTATAACAAGGTGTACTAGGTGTACGGAGTGAAGAAGGAGGACAAGGAGAACTTGACTTTTGATGTGAGACAGGAGGGGCACAAGCTCAGCGTCAAGGGCTCAATCGAAGATCAGAAGAAGAGAAAAAATCTTAATTGTATTGTAGAGGTATACATTTGAACCTGTCACCGGCCCTTTCATGTGGGTTCAATTCATTTTTGATTTTGAACGAGTGATTTTGTTATTGATAATGCATAATAGGGCATTTTAAAGGGGGTTGGGTTAATTTGTGAAGTTCCTATTTTGCCATGTATATTGAACATGTACCTGAACTGAACTGATTGGCATCTATCTCTTCTTGTTTGTATATCTGATCAGAACTCAGGAATTCTCCATAACCAATTTGCCTCTAGTTTTGATCAAATTCCAAATTGAGTGGGTTGACTTTTATAGAGGAAGTTTAGATTTCCAGGCAATGGTTCCCATACTAGCTTATTAATACAATCCTTAATCAAAGAAAGAAGGTCCACATGCAATACTATACTGGGAAGGGGGCCGGGGTTGACAGATATTCTTTGGTTTCTCTACCCCCTATTTTTATTATTTGCTGTTAAATTTATTATATATTAAACAAGATTTAAACCATTTAAAAATAACTGTTTATAAAACTGTTATTTTGGTTCGCAGTGTCAAAAAGTTTTTGGGACCGAAATTTTCTCTTTATCGAGTAGGTTAAAGCCTCGGGACAAAATAAAATCTAAAAAGGCGATAACCTTCGAGATATAGAGAAAATTTAAGCACAAAAACTTTACAGCACGTCGTGCCGAAATAATTGTGTTATAGGTAATATTTTTAAACGTTTGCGTACTTGTCTTATTTCAATGGTTATTTCTCTAGATCAAATCAGCTTTAAATAAACGGAAGTATAAAGAAATAAAGTTGATTTCATTTTATTTTCATTTTAATTGAAAACAATTATTTTGGAAAGATCCTAAATTTTTTTGAGAAAATCCGGGAACCAATCAAAACTTTATAGCACATGTACATTGTACAGCTAATTTAACTTTATAGCACGATGATTACTTTATAGCACGTTTATTATGAAATTCACGATGAAGTGAGTAAGAAAGAATAATTAAGTACACAATAGTTTCATAAATATTAAAATGAGTCTACTGTAGGTATTTTTTTTGCTGTAATTAATGATTTTATTAGGTTCCTTTGGTGCACAATGTAAACGTGATAACTTCTGGTGATGCAAGAATAGATTGCAAAGACATGGTAAGCAATTTAAATTTATAAATAATCTTTAATTGAGAAGGTTTTAAATTGAATTTTTTATTCTAGGTTGAATCTAATTATTGTCATCTTACATCAGACGCCGGGGAAATAAAAGTCAGAAGAGTGAAGACTGCAAACTTAATTTGTCAGGTTATAATTTAATGAATAAGAGAAAAAAAGTAGTTTTTATGGAATAAAATCTCATGGCCCTAAGCCAACATAATTAATCCATGAAATGTAAGTCTGGGTTGGATATAGCCACACGTTTTTCTACTACAATTGTGGCAGTAATCAACGCACCCGACCACACTTTTACTATGCGTATTGACAAGAATATTAGGTTGCGCGAATTATTTTAAGATGAGGAAATTACTAGCCGGATCATAATCCAATTAATCTTAACACGTTGTTCTGCTCGGAACACGTACAGTTTATGTAAGAACTCTAGGTGCAAGCACCGAAAGTTACAAGTTTGGACATGTGCAATTCACGTTTAAACACACATTATGCACATATTTATATAGTCTACCCTTGCGTCTCAGTCGTTTAAACATAAACGTTGGGTTAAGATTTTATCACGTTTATGCAAACGTATGATGCGCGTGTTCTAGGAAATGCACCTTATGTTAAGTTTTGTAAAATCTATTCATTTTGTAGAGCGAGAGTGGTGATATTGTGTGTAAAGGTGCAATTCAAGGAAGTATTAGTATTGTAACAGGTAGAATTATTTATAATTTAACAACATAATTTCAGGCTTATTATCTGCCAGAAATTATTTAATTTCATTTTTCATGAAAACTCTGGAAAGTGTCCAGAAAAAAAAATAATGTTAAAGAAAATTTTCGAAATTGAGACGATGAAAATATAATGCGTGTACTTAAGTTTATTTTACATTCAAAGAAAACTACGCCCGATTTTCAACGTTACCCTTGAAAGCTTTTTGTGTTCGTTGAGTACAGAGATATCTGTGAGTAAACTTATCGAACCCCGCTTGTATTCAGTTGGAAATTCCGGTGTGCACTGTGTTTGATTTAGACTGATAGTGTACAGTTTACACAACGCACACCAGAATTTGTTGCTGCAAATACAAGCAGGTTTCGATAAGATTACGCACACATATCTCTGTACTCGAAAAACACAAAAGGTTTCAAGGGTATCGTTGTAAATATTTTTCACCAGGGTGTACTAAAATATATATTCGACAGGATGTACTAACATATATTTGCGACAGGGTGAACTGAAATATATATTCGGCAGGGTGTACCATAATATATATTCAGTAGGGTGAAGTAAAATATATATTCGACAGGATGTACTAAAATATATATTCAGCAGTGTGTATTAAAATATTTATATTTAAAATTCGGTGATGGTGATGGACCAAACCTCTGTAGAGTAAAAAAGTAGTTGTTAGTTCCACATTTATTGAAAATATATTTCGATCTGGGTTGACCCTCGTCAGTTCTTGAGATTGTTTCTTCACAAAGATTAATTCGGCAGGGTGTACTAAAATATATATTCGGCAGGGTGTACTAAAATATATATTCGGCAGGGTGTACTAAAATATATATTCGGCAGGGTGTACTAAAATATATATTCGGCAGCGTGTACTAAAATATATATTCGGCAGGGTGTACTAAAATATATTTTCGGTAGGGTGTACCAAAATACATATTTTTAAACAGTATCTAAAGTATATTTTGTAAGATATTGTGACCTGAAAAATGTGTTTTATATCTACTTTAATACATGTTTCTACCCAATATCTACTGAAGTAAATATATTTGGTTGATATTGTGAATTGAAAAATGTGTTTTATATCTACTTAAATTCATATTTTTAACCAGTATATACTAAAATATAAAATTTAAGACAGTGTGTACTAAAATACATTGGTATTTACCCTATCCAGGAGATGGAAATGTTGTAAATGATAAACGGTTTATTGGACCAACCCTAGATATATCAACGGACTCAGGAGATATCAGGTTTAATTAAATTTTACTTTTTAAGAAATATTAATTTATTTTAAATAATTTCTGATGAACAAAAACATTATTTTTCTAATCCCTATTTCAGTGAAATCTAACGATGTAAACCTTTGATGTTTTAACTTTTCCTATGTTGTAATCTACCAGAATTACGTGAGACATTTTTTGCATTTTAATGTATTCACATGTAGCGTTTTTAATCGTTTTCGTTGGTTTTTAAGTTAAATAAAATTTCCAACATTTCAAAAGTGTAACTGTGAAAGTTTGCTTTTATTAAATTTAGCAATATTTTTATTCGAAAAAAAATTGAAAAACAATCCAAAAAAAGGTCGTTTCTTTTTTGCATTTATTTCTGTCGGTTAAAATTTATCCAATATTATTGCTTTGAAGAAAAACAAAATTTTATTTTGAAAAAATATATTCATTGTTAAAATGAAATCCAGGGTTGCCAGCTCCTACTCAGACCAGAGCAAGTTTTCAACAAATACTGGAAACCTGTTCCTCAGGAATATTCATAATGAGAGCTATGTTGCTATTTATGAAAAGGTTTGATTACTTCAATTAATTAATTAGCTGGATTATTTTGCAGATTTCACATTTTCATAGTATTTATTGAACTAACTAATAATTTCACTTGCCTTAAACTTGTTTTCAAAAACAGCCTTTATTTATAGCAAGCTAGATGTTCTGTGCTCAATAAACAAAAAATTAGAAATTTGAATTCCTGTTTTTCAAGTTTTGAATTCAGTTCAAAATATTTAGGGAAATTTAACGATGCTGGGAATTGACGGATCTACAAATGTATTCGTGAAGAAGGGAGATATTGATGTTCAGGTAGATATTTTACTTTAAGTGGCAAGAGTTTACTTTTTATAGATTTTTAGCTTATTCTTGTCAAAAAAGTATTTTCTTATCTCAATTCAGCGATTAAAATACTTCCTCTAAAATTGCCAATTCCAGATTTTTTTGCTCAAAAGAAATAAAGATTATTAGCTTGTTCCATCACAGATTATGCAGAATAAATGTTTCAACAAGCTACATTAGAGAACTATGGTCAAGCAGAAATGCCTGAGTGGGATGCCCCCCCCCCCCTCACCTCCTTGTGACAGGAGAGAAACCAGATCTAGTAATTATCGTTAGAATTATGGAAAAGATGGATATTTTTGAGCTTACTGTCCCATTGTAAACAAATATCAAAAACACTCAAAAGATGAACAAATATAAACATTTTATCACAGATCTAACACCTAGGGATGTGTCTGTTCACCCTTTTGAAATCGGCTCAAGAGGATATATCTCCATCAAATAAAGGATTCACCGACAAAAGGTCAAACGACTCAGGGTCAAACGACAAAGGGTCAAAAGTGCGACGAAGGGTCAAACGACAAAAGGTCAAAATGATAAAAATATTTTTTTATTTTAATCATAGGAAACTCGCAATTTTAATCACAAAAATCCGCCAGACTTTAGTCTGATTCTGGCTTCCATAATGGTCGGGTTGGCAACATTTATTGCTGCAAGACAAGGTGGTAGGATCATTGTAGATGAACAGGGATTACAAGAAGACAAGTGTAAACAAGAATACGGGAGTAAGCTATTCGAGGTGTCGGGATAAGATTGCTGAAAAATGCGATGCTAGAGCCATTCTTATCGATGAATCTGGGATAATTAAGTCCGTTAAACCCGACCATACCCATGGAAATAGGTTTGTGAAGAATAAAGTTCGAGCTGTTGAGCAGGAGAAAATAATGGCTGTAAACATTTGGAGTAATGCAGAGCAGTACAATATGTAGTTTTTATATGTATATTTATAACCTTTTTTTCATAGTTTTGTAGACAAAGTATTCATTGCATTTAATTATAAATATAGAAACCAATAATGATTTTTTCATGAAACAAATTTGTACAGTGTTAGTAAAAAAGAAAATTTAAAAAAATTTCCCCTTTGTCGCATTTTTTGACCCTATGTCGTTTTACCCTTTGTCGCGCTTTTGACCCTTTGTCGTTTGACCCAATGTCGTTTGACCCTTTGTCGTTTGACCCTTTGTCAGTGAATCATATATAGCTAATCTAAAGAAACTGCATTAGTTCTGCAAACCCTGTGTTAGTTTCAAAGTAATGTACGAAAATCTATCAAGCCTTGCAGTACTGTCATCATACCACATTTTTAGAAAACATAAAACACTAGACTGGGACCAAGAAACTCCATTTCTGAAAACCACCTCTGAATAACTTAACTATACTTATGCTAAAAGTCTTGTATTGCACCTGTTTTTTGGCAAACCTTGTCAATCATAAAATGCGATATCCAGAGAAAAGAGTATTAGTTTGTAAACTTTTATATTGTTGAATATATATTGTTTTCATTTTTATCGACACTTGTTTATTAAAATTGGCTGACAATGCAGGGGTGCCATATTTTCTAGAAAAATTAATTCCCCCACTTTTGAAAATTAGTTTTCCTCCAGATGTCCATTTTTTTCCCCATAGCATCAACAAATGTTTCGGGGGTATGTAATTCTGGGTTTTTAATAAAAATTGGTGGATTTGTTGGGACGATAGGTGTATGGGGGGGGGGGGAATTCTTAAAAATGTTCATCTCTGAACTTGACTTTATTGTAGGTGAGTAAGGTGACGCATGAGTCTAGAATCCATGTTGAGAACGGAGATATTGTTCTCAAGATAGCTGACAACTTTCCTCTTAAGGTTAATTTTTTTCTACAAATGTTTTATGTATCAGGGACCGATTTTATTCAATTTGAGCTAGGTCGCTGAATTATCACCGGTTTAAAGTACGTAGTTGAACCGTCTTTAGAACTAGATCAAACTCATTCTCATATCCGGTCCCAGTTCACGAGAACTAATATTTTATTTGATTTGTTTATTGTATTCATAAATAATTATAAAATGGTATACTTAAACAGTTTTCAGAGTTATTATTTAAAAAATCACATCCATAAGATTTTAGGAATAAAATTTATTGACTCTTAAAAATAGGTGTGTGTCACCGCAGCTGAAATCATCCTCGATACTAAGTTTAGGAAATATGGAGAAATTTCATCGAAGGTAAATTTAATGTTTATGACAGGTTGAGAATTATTTTAGCTAACTAATCAGCTGGAATGACATAACCAATACAATTTTCAAATGTCAGATATTTGAATACAATATAAAACGTAATTGAAATTACCCCCATTTAAGTCACACAAACCCTTAAAAGCGTCCACGTCTTAGTCGGGCTTGGGATTTAGTAGCGTAATTATGCGAGTACATTCAGTGTAGTAATCATGGGGGGGGGGATTGAAAGAAAAAGTCTTATCCTGAGTACGCCCCTGACTTGATTAGATGAAAAAAAAAACTAATTACCTAGGATGACGACTATAAACACTATTTTGGAACAATTCAACCTGAGAAGTTCTCCCCAACTCTTCAAGTTATTTCAGAACAAGGACAAGTTATTGTAGAATCTCAGGTACATATTTATTTATAATTTTTATGTTTTTTTTATAGTCTTATTTGTTAGAGACACTCCTTTGTTTGATAAGCAAGGATTTATTTTTAAGACAGCTTGCCCTGAATTTTAAAAGGCTGGCGTGTCAAATTTTAGCCGCCAGTCAATTAAAATGTATATCTATGAATAAAATGTTGTAATCTCTGTTTTTTCGATCTTAACTCAGGAACCCCTAGAACGATTTGCCTCAAATTTTGATTGGAGAACTTGTGAGACCCACGGAAATGTTCTTAGCTTGGTTTTAAGATTCTAAGTTGAGTGGGTCGACTTTAATAGCGAAAATTTAGTTTCCCGGTAAAATCGATCAAGTGCGGGTAAACGGCGGAAGTAACTTTTAGTAACCTTGTCAGCGCTGGGATCCCAAGCTAGTATTGTAAATGCATTAAGTATTTCTTTAAAGTTTACTATACGTATTACGTATGCCTTGCATCAATCTTATCATAGAGTAATAAAACGAAGAGGTGAAGCTTAGATGAGATGTACACAACCGACCTGTCTATTAATTAATAGACAGGTCGGTTGTGTACATCACAATATGTTTACGTATCTAACGTTGTACACTTGTATATAGAGCGATCGTATTTCTAAAGGGGGATTTTAAAGAATTGACCAATTTTTAGATTTTCTTTCTTTATTTAAAGAGAATTCGAGGATGTTGACTCAAACATTTGACAATTTTCAAATTTGTAGGTTTTCAATTTTTTAGCTAAAAGTTCTGTCAAAAATGTTAAGTTTCTAGGGCATGAATTTAACTTAAAACATTCTTATTTCAAACATTTTTATTGTTTCTTCTCTTCAACTCTTTATCATAAACATGATAGTGTATGCAGGGTTACCCACAAAAGATGAAACAACGATGACGACCTGAAGCTCTTAAACCTAAACAGGCGGGGGGGGGGGGAAGGGGCATTTGGTTCCCCCCTCTAGTTTTTTTACTTTTCATAAATAGAAATTTAAAGGATTTTTTGGTAATTTTTTTTTATGCCTAAGGTAGGGTGCAGGGCGATAAAAAACCAGAGTATGTAAAAAAATCTTAAATAACCCATAACTTTTTTATGACTAAAGCTACGGATCTGAAAACTATAGTTTTGAAAAGCCCTTGAAAAGTGGGTGTAGAAACGTGTGTCACACTTTGATATTTGTTTTAAACAAAAAAATATTTTTTACATTTTTTCGACCTTTTTTAGCATTTTTTTTCGACCCTCTCTAGCTCTATAAAAGTAATCAAATTTCATTTCAATGAGCTGGCCTTGAAAAATTTGGTATGGACATGCGTTTAAACCCTATACCTATTCGCTAAGGCCTTTTTCTAAGGGATGGGGGGGGGCGTGGGACGCCCCCCAGTCTATACATAGATTCAGACCCCCAGTCTTTATAGGGTTAAACATAAACAACAATCTAAAGGTTGAATTTAGTTTCTGTCTTAAATATTGTCTCGTTATTGTGGTATTGTCATAAACACACAGTAATTATAAGAAAGAGTCAAAATATTATTTTATGCATGTTTAAATAAAACCAACTTAATAGTTTTTTGACGTATGTTAGTTTTTTCCTTTTATTCTTCTAAAGTTGAGAGCAATGGTGTTGCATTTTTCTTCAAACTTGGCCTTTTTCCGTGACTTATATCTCCTTCCTTAAAATGGTTTGAGCAAATGCAACTTCTGGGATATACTCTTGAGTCTCCCAACCTTAAAAGGTCTAGCCATGCACAATTTTTTGATATTTTGAAAATACTCACATTTTTACAAGAAGAATTGTTTTGGCACTTTTTCACGATGCAACATTTAGACATTGTATTGAAATAAACAAACAACAGAACTTGAATGTACTGCAGTATACATCCTGTGTTTACAATCCATATTAATTGTCTAATTATCAATACTAATATTCAAATATCTACATTAAACCACTCCTTAGAAATACGATCACTCTATATACAAGTGTACAACGTTAAATACGTAAACATATCGTGATGTACACAGCCGACCTGTCTATTAATTAATTAATAGACAGGTCGGTTGTGTACATCTGAGCTATGCTTCACCTCTTCGTTTTATTACTCTATGAATCTTATAATTGTATAATATAAGAGCATCGTTGAATCAAACTCTCGAGTTTCCATTTCGGGGTTTTAACATTTAAGTAGATTTTAATTTAAGAGATTCGAAAAAAGGAAGAATACGAAGCAACTAAATAAAATAATATTTCATAACAAAAGTATTGATATCTACAAAACTGCCTAACCCCTTTCGTGAAACCCAGGTTTCAAAACTGGTTTTTATAACGATACCCTGTTTTAAGTTTTGGGCTCTGAAGGCCTAGGTGAATAAAGGTTGTAGTATAAGCCTAAAGCTATAAATTGTATTTTATTCAGGATTGGGCAGCTAGCCTTGGCTTCAAACTCCCAGGCAACTAAGCAAAAAAAAATTAGTAATAATGAAACTCCTGGCCTAATCTTTCATTCCTAATTTTTCATTCATAGGGAAATTCTCAGTCTACATCAGAAAATGCTTCAATAAAATTATTCTAAATATTCAACCAGCCATCCCCCCTCGCATTAAATATATATGCGTTTACACTTAACCTTTCATTAGTTGTTTATCTATTTGCTTAGGGGGTATACAGATACCGCCTGATCTTAATATCAAGCAAGCATACTGAAATCAACAAGAAATCAACCATGCATACTGAAATTAACAAAATATCTTGATCAATATCAACCAAGCAAGATGAAATCAACTTCATAAATATCAAGCAAGCAAGCTGAAATCAACCATAAACACCTGCAGATATCTAAATCCATCAAAAAATCAGACGAAATCATAAAATCGCCGTAAACCTCAAAACCAACTTCTTTCTCGAAATCTTCAGCTCATTTGGAATTTTGAATAAAAATATCACCAATCACGTAATTTCATAAACTTTGGTTCTAAGTCTTCTCAATTCATTTTTGAATATTCTGTATCCCACATTGGGTCTATTTCTATATTTTGAAATATTCTGATCTGGTCATCCGTCGGAATCTCGAGAAGTCAGGACTTATTAATTTTTCAGTTATTTTCTTGCCAATTTAATATTTTTGTCGTAATATTGTAAATACTATTATTATTGTTATGATATCTGCTAGTCTTAATCGATCTGATTGGATATAGAAACCAAATTTGCGAAAATCTTGTTTGTAAATTTAGAGAAAATGGCGAATACGAGCTGTACAGGGGGAGTAGGTGGACCTGTACAACCTGTTCAGGGGAAATCAAACTCGTTGAAGAAACCCCCAATAGGTCGGTTTACGTCTTATTTTGATGAACTCGAAAAATTATTTCTCTCTAAATATTTTTTTCTTCCAAAAAAATATGGAGACTTCTTTTTAAGAAAAATTAAGCCCTTTCTCAGGCATTCCTAACAAATGGGAAATAATCTCATAAAATATTGATATGACGTAAAATAAACAACTTTTACTCGTGGACTAATGTTTTGTATCCAGGATCTGTGAGCTGGTCTTACACTGACAATGAACCAGATACAAAGTACGACCATGCCTGGAGTATTGCGCATTTTTCACGAAAGGTAGGCTTGCAGATTTTTTATGAACTTTTCTGCGGAGTATCGTTAATCTAGAACACGTTATATGCTTAGTGAAATTGAACATTAATCCATAGGTCTTAGGTAATGGAATAGATGCTTAATTCTGAGAATATCAAAATAAGAGTTCCTTCTTCAGAGGGGCGGATTTTTATGTGGAACATCGTTTATCTCTATATCTATTGTGGCACTTTAAATTTGAGAATTAATGTTTGATCCCCTAATTAAGAGCCGGTATTACTACCAAGGATATATAAAGCGGAGTCAGATTAAGCTTTAGGTCTGTATTAGTGGAATGCTTGATCCCCAGATTAACAATATAAAAGTTCTCACTTTCTGATCCGTAATGGGTTAAAGGAATGAGGATCTGAAATTCTGAATCTAGCTAATAATGTTAATTCTTTATTTTGTTTAATGTTGTTTTGCAATATATATGTTTAAAGTGGCAGCTTAGCTCTAATTTGATCGTGTGCTGTGATCTTTACAAGCTGAAGTGTAACAACTTTATTAAGCAGAATCCTATATGTTTTCTTTAAAATAACCGCACATGGTCTGGAAACAGATGTCAAATTTAAAATAAAAAGGCAATTAATTGGTAGAGATCGAACGGAAAACCCAAATGTTGGCAAGAGATTAAAGCTCAAGTACTCACTAAGAAGCCTTAAGCCATCCCTGCAAAGTATACATGTGTATTTATAGTATTTATTTTCAGACAAAAAATACAAAATAATAATGTATGATGGTTCAGCTTAAAATAAAACACGAAAGAAAATTTATTATGGGCCAATTGAAAATAGAATGTTTTGTATTTGTTGAAACAAAGTATACAATTACATATTGAAATCTCAACTAAATATACATTCACTAGCCTTAGAGGGCGCTTCGCGCCCATCTTCTAAATTAATTGTGAACATGTTCTCTTTGTGTACATCGTAAAACAAAACAAAAATAATTCGCGGATTTTCACAAAAAATTTCGTGGATTTTCAAAATTTTCAAAAATTTAATTATGATCAAATTTTGATGGAGACAAATATTTGAAATTTTGATCATTCATAAACCTTCCCTGTGGTCACGTGATGTCCCACAAAAGATTTGGGCCCGATCGGTTAAGCCGTTTTGGCGTTTATTGGATACTAACAGACAAACAAACAAACAAACAAACAGACAGACAAGCCAAATTTATATATAGATTGTGCATTTACAAGTAGATAATTAGTCAGCACTTAAATAATCAAAACATTTTTAGGACTGTATTCATTGAACTTATAGATATTAAATACATATTGACTGTAGTAGACTTTGACATCTACCATTAGCAAAAGTTTGTGAACCCATACTCGTTGACTGTAGTAGACTTTGACATCCATCAATATCAAATGGTGAGAACCCATACTCTTTGACTGTAGTAGACTTTGACATCTTCCATTAGCAAAAGGTCTGAACCCATTCTTGTTGACTGTAGTAGACTTTGATATCTACCATTAAAAAAGGGTGTAAACCATTACTCGTTGACTGTAGTAGACTGTAGTAGACTATGACATCCATCATTAGCAAAGGGTGTGAACCCATACTCGTTGACTGTAGTAGACTTTGACATCTACCACTAGCAAAGGGTGTGACTGTGAACCCATTCTTGTTGACTGTAGTAGACTTTGAAATCCACCATTAGCAAAGGGTGTAAACCCATTCTTGTGGACTGTAGTAGACTTTGACTTCCACCATTAGCAAAGGGTGTGAACCCATAGGCCATACTTGTTGACTGTAGTAGACTTTGACATCTACCATTAGCAAAGGGTGTGAACCCATACTCGTGGACTGTAGTAGACTTTGACATCTATCATTAGCAAAGGGTGTGAATCCATACTCGTTGACTGTAGTAGACTTTGACATATACCATTAGCAAAGGGTGTGAATCCATACTCGTTGACTGTAGTAGACTTTTAAATCTACCATTAGCAAAGGGTGTAAACCCATTTGACAGTAAAAAGGTTATATAAGGTTTGCGGCCCTGGCCTAGTCCCGAATATATTCTGCAAGCATTATGCATACTTTCTCTCAGATAGAGGAGGTGTTGACACCTCAACTGCTTTCTAATTTCTGGTACAATGAAAATTGAACCTTTAGATGGAGATGGAAAACGGCGAAGAGCTGAAGTCCGGCGTCTTTGCAATCCGGACCAAGGACAGACACACAGACTGGTGAGAAGTTTAAAGTTTAAGCTTAACACTACCTTTAAAGGGTTGTTTTCGCGAAAAATAAGGGGGTATAGGCTTACGGCGAAAAAATAAGCGCTTTTGATCGCTACTACTCTTACTTCTGTCTGTTGCGTCTATTAGAAGAAAATTGTTAAAAACGACTCATACAACGTAGCGTCCATACAATTTCTAAAAGTTGCAACATTCAACTCGGATCGTAAAATAATCAATTAAATTCCAAACAAATTATTCAGATATTGCAAACAATAGTCATCGATTATTTTTCGACGCATTCATATAAAGTAAATATTTATAATGTTTTTGATCTTTTTTTAAAAAACAGTCCCTTTAAGCTGAGACGATTGATTGATTGATATATTAAGGTTTATGAGAATAAATCCCAACGGCGAAGAAAAGTCTTGCAAAGGTTTTGTTTCCCTTTTCCTCTACAAAGATGGAGTTTGTGAGGTAATTAATTATCATTATCTATTAAAATTCGATGTATTTCAACTTGAGATACACGTCAAACTACGAGGCTTTTTAATTTTATTATAAAATACAATTCATTTTCAACAAGTTAGTTAAATTTTTCTATTTAGGTTCCGATAAACGCCGACATAATTTTCAACATAATAGACAAGGAATAATTCAGTCAGATGTTTTCTCTTCAGTCTTAAGACTTGATATTAAGTCGCAAACTATAAATCGGACCTATTTTTACAGAAATGATTTGAAAATTAGAACAACAACAATTTTAAGATATATTTTTTTAAACACTTGAAGAATAAATTAAAGATATAACTATTCCATTTATTGTAAACCAGCAACAAAGAGTAAGTCAGCATTGACTGCCAAGTGCCAATGTTTAGTAGTCATAATTATCAGCCAGAATGATAAAAAAAAACCTTTTGTGGGTAAAAAAAAATTAATTACGCAAGAATTATTTCTTTAAACAATTCAAAAATTGAGAGAAAGATTGAAGACTGCATTGAATCAAAGGATGGAAATAAAACGCGAGCGAAGAGATGTGAATACGTTTTCGAGAAGAATCTTCAGAGTGATAACAGAGGGTTTGCCAAGTAAGTTTTTTCAATAACTTGTTTATTATATTCCTGAAAATTTGAATTCCCCCTTCAGAAAAATAATGTGAAATTATAAATCTGAGGAACGATAAAGATATTCAAAGCCTGATAATCTTGGACGGCAATTATAAAATTAATTTCATCCCAAAGACAAATATAAATTTTTGATAAGTGGCTTGAGGTTTTATATTTAATGAATAGAGAGAATTAGTTGAAACGCAAAGATGTAGTTGAACCACTTCTCATCATTTTAACCCGGCGCACTATGTCTAAGCAATTCAACAACGTCTACGCTGTACAACAATGTATACAATGCCATTGCGGTCCAACTACGTTTTAGCGGTTTTACAATGTTAAAAACGGTTCAACTACGTCTATGTGGTTCAACTATTTCTCGTTGTTCATTAAATCTGGTTGCAGATTTGTGTCGCACACTGAGCTGAAGCACCCTCAGCTGAACCTGCTCCCCAACGATACCCTCACCATCCTCTGCGAGATCTCCATTACGGGGGACAACATCGTCACCAGCGGATCTTCAAAGTTTGTAAACTAATAATCTTAGAAATATTTTATGATGTTTAATATATTAGGGTTTCTGGGCGCTTCGGGCCCATCTTCTATTTTATTTCAATTGTGAACATTTTTTCTTTTATTGTAAAACAAAAACTTTAAAAAAAGTTCGCGGATTTTATAAAAAAAAATCGTGGATTCTCAAAATTTAATTAAATTCGAATTTTGTTGGAGGCTATTTTTTGAAATTTTAATCATCCATACATCTTCCCTGGGGTCTTGTGAGGTCCCACACTTCATTAAACATTCAGAGTCCGTAGTATTATCCGGGAACTTATGAATGAGATGAACTGCTTTTCTTAAACTTTTGAACTTCGTTAGATTTTTAGATAATGAAAATCGTCAGCTAATACAAATTGATAATATTTTATTGGTTAAATTATTAAAAATTGTTTATTTTGTTGGTTAAATTAATAAAAATTGTTAACATTTTTAACACAATGCTTAACTTTTCTTGTACATTTTCTAATTTTACAGAACTATTTACAAACCTGAACAATATCTGTTCCATGTTACTAATATTTTATATTTTAGGCCTGTATATAATCATTCTAAAGCTAAACCGGCAGAAACTGTAAACAGGCTGTCACAGGTAAAAAATATTTTTTCTTTAAGTAAAGAAGATGTTAACTTTTCATGGAGCTAGTTTTACCCTTAAAATGATTTCCTAGACGAAAATTGCGGCTTGATTAAATTTGATTTTTTAACCTTCTCTTAACAGATTTGTTGTGTGATAATAACACCATTTTTGAGGAAGTATACTGCACACTGTTAAACATACGGACAATATGTTTTTCAAAATATGAAACATTAAATGTTGATTTAATATTCAGTGATGGTGATGGACCAAACCTCTGTAGAGTAAAAAAGTAGATGTTAGTTCCACATTTATTGAAAATATATTTCGGTCTGGGTTGACCCTCGTCAGTTCCCCTCAATAACAATTTAAAGAGGAAAAGTTACAAATATACCTTGCATTTTTTTTGGCAGGGGGTTATTGTAAGACTAAAACGAACTCCACAACATCTTCTTTAACAATACTGTTGTTGAAATCCATGTTGTCTTTAAATATGTTTTTCTTTGAATTTCAGTTTGTCTTTAGCATTGTTTGCTGTTGCCAGGAGTAGGATAAATGTCTTTTTATTGCGGAATTATTCCTTTCCTTTCATTGTGTATACAGAGTAGATAGAGCACATGTACTGTACTGCACAGTGTTGTACATACACAAACCCAGGAGATAGCTCCGCTGCTGATCTTAACCCCCTCTAATAGAATCAGTTTTCCTCTCACGTTTCTTAAAGTTATCAGATACAGTTGAAGGAAGAGCTGTGGGACGGATTTGAATAGAACCTCTAAGAATCTGTAATCATGGTTGTCAGCTAGACGGTCTCCTAGTTGTTCAACCCCATCCACTAGGAGTAAACAAGGGTGAAGGATGATTTCGCAAAAAGCTGGGTTTCTCCCACAAGTTCGGATCCATTGGAGCAGTTTTACTATTTGAGGCAGGAGCAGGAAAATAATTGATAGCCTGTAAGCACAGTAATATACAATAAAAAGTATACAGGACAAACAGAAAAAAAAATTAAAATCCTCTTTTTATTTATAGCATTGTAAAGATTTGATGAGGAAAATTATGACTATAATTGTTTTAACCTATGTAAGCTCTCCAAGCTATACAGAATTACCCACCAAGGATGAGCCTTTTATATTAGATGCACAGATTAAAAACACCAAGTTTAAAAATTAATTAGGAAACCATTTAGTTTAGAAAATAGATTCTATCACATTCGTTTTGTCGTCTCTGAAGGCTCATTCTTCACATTAACCTTGAACTTGTATAGAATAGAATACCTACTTATTTTCAAAATCAAAGTAATTTTTTAACATCTGTAATAATGTTGTGAGAAAGGCCTTATTTATTTTTTTTCGATAAGCTTTCAAAACTTGCATTTTTTTCTAAAGAACGTAAAAACTGCTTAATTTAGTGCTTCTCAGAACACACAATAAATTATTGTTTAATTTTTGTATATACCCTTTCCTTGCGTAGAACAAATAATGGTGATCAGAGTAAAGAAGTTTAATAAATAATATATCAGATAAAATATCTAGGATTGGCAGGAAAATTCGTAGAACATAAGTCTTAAACTGATACGATCCACACATCGCCTCACAGGCCAGTTCATTGGGTTAAACCCCTTTAACCGTCCTTTTAATAAACGACAAGGAAATTTATTAAGAGTCTATAAGTATCACAAGCCGGTTTAGTGTAGGATGGAACCTTCACATTGTCTCAAAACAGGCCGGTTCATTAAAGAAAATTTTCACTTTCTTATCTGATTGTTTAGTGTAGATAGAATCCGCACATTTTTTCAGAGACCAGTTTATTTAAGAAAAATTTAAACAATCTTAGTTGATTGTTCAATTTAGAATGAACATTTGAACTTTGTGACTAAACAGTTAGTTTAAACATTACTATCTTTGATTCAAGATAACGAAAAACGAAAGATAGATAGATAGATAGATAGATAGATAGATAGATAGATAGATAGATAGATAGATAGATAGATAGATAGATAGATAGATAGATAGATAGATTGAAAGAAAGAAAGAAAGAAAGAAGGAAAGAAGGAAAGAAGGAAAGAAGGAAAGAAGGAAAGAAGGAAAGAAGGAAAGAAGGAAAGAAGGAAAGAAGGAAAGAAGGAAAGAAGGAACATTTATTGCATCTAGATATAAATACATAATGAAAAACGAATTTATTAAAAACGAGTTTATTAAAGAAAAAAAACTTGGTCTTCTCTGGTTCCAGAATCCGAAACTAGTGACATGCGGATTTTATAATACCACGGGCAGCCGTGGTACATTTGAATTTCCGAGCAGGGTCAACCTTTCGGTCCCAGTTTGTACTGTATTGCCCGGACATTGGGTAAATAAAGCAGAAACTCGGTAGGACTAGCCGGTGCAACAAGGTTGACGCGGTCAGACTTTGGGTTGAATATACTTTTACTAATGGGTCAGGGGTGCGGGATACCCTTTCATCCTCTTCACTGTTTTATTAGCTGAAGGGCCCAGCGTTGCCCATAAAACAAAACAAAAAATTTAAATGTTTTTATTTTTTATTTTAAATCGAATTATTATTTATCCTTTGTCATACCCCTGACTATCCATGAGTATCCACAAAAAAAATCATTCTATTCGGTCCATCTGTTTAGCCGGCTATATAGAACTTTTATACGAATGTCTTGTTTTATTTTATTGATTGTTAAGGATATCTCTTCTATACTTGATATTGGATGATTCTCTGACTTCTCTTTCTGCATATGAAAGGAAAAATGTTCGGGGTGCAAAAAAAAAGTGCAAAAAAATTGCAAAAAAATTGCAAAAAAATGAGCTAAAACGCGGAAGCTGAGAGAAAATCTCAAAATTTTAAATGATTTCATTTGTTAGTTTTTATTGCTGTTAAAAAAAAATTGTCGTGTTTATTTTTGTTTTCATCATGTTTGATTAAATGCTGTTTAGGATATTTCATCTATACTTGATACTGGACGATTCTCTGACTGCACCGTATCCGTGGATAACAGGGAGTTTCAGTGCCACAAGAATATCCTCTCCGCCAGGTTCGAATTTTCATATTTTTATTCCTCTAGAAATTATAAGTATAAGTTAGTTTCTGGGCCCGACTAACAAAGAATGGTTGTTTTAATTGTGTAATGTGTAATCTATGATCTGATAAAAGTGTTTAAAGCCTCTTTTAACATTATACAAAAAAAAATTTCTTAAACTTTTCTCTTTTTTTCAACAAAGTTTGTGTAATTTTATAATTTAATTCCTCTAGAAAGCAAAAAAAGTCGTAAGTTAGTTTCTGGGCCAGACTAATAAAGAATGAATTTTTAAAATAGCGTAATCCGTAATGTATTCTTACAGAGAATGGTTCAAAGGGACAGACCGGCTATGTAAGGTAGTTGAACTGAATATGCAGTGTTGTGGACAAATTCTTTAGTTTTCATTTGAGACATTTGAGACATATACAACTTTTCCACGATGTATAATTTATCAGTGTTTGAGTGCATAGTCGACGTTCATACTCTTGGATTTGGGTGGGTACTTTTTCAGACTCAGTTTTTTAAAATTAGTAAAATTAGTGCTCAGATCAGGGAGTTCCTGAACAGTCTATTAGTTGGATCTGCTCTACTCCCTGCTGTATTGGAGAAAATGGAGAACCTCTATAAACTTTCTGATAGTTGTAACGTGGAGATTCTGTTCTCCTGGATTAGAGTTGGGATTGCAGCAAGGAATATACAACAGTTCAATCAGGATAAACCACATTTAAAACAGGCTTAATATGTTAATTTTAAAAAATGAGTAAATCGAGAATCCATAGGATGGCCATTCTAGGTAATTAAACCCGAGATGAATAGAACATTTTTTTGGAAAAAGCCTGTTACTAAAAAATTATATTTCTGATGAAAAGCAAATGGGTAACTGTGGTGTCGGAGGATGTGTCAATTAGCTAAACAATCCAGAGATGACTTCAAGGATGTACACTGATTGGAAGATTTAAGCCTAAATAACTTTCCAGAAGAAATTCTGCGCCAATGCATTTTTCGAAATTTATTATTTTTACAGTAAATAACGACGACGAAAAATAAAGTAAAAATTATACAGTACACTAATTAGATGGTTAGGAACATATTTCTAAAAAGAAATTTGTCAATAAATCAATGTTAGAATCAATTATTTCGTTTTCATCCTCACATTGAATTTCTTATTTTCTATGAATTTATTCGCAGATTTCTACAAATTCTTCAAATGTCGTCTTTTCAATAATAATTCCAGAACATCTTTGTGAATAATGAGAAAATAGAAACTAATAATTGAACAAAATTACTTATTTTCGATGATAAAATTAATTTTTATTTCATCTTGTTCCTAAACAACTAATTAGATTATGTAGAATTTTGTTTACATTTTTTGTCGTAGTAATTTAATAATTGAAAAACCAATTCTGAAAATGTATCCACCCAAAAGTACGATTTTGAACGTCGACTTTGCGCTCAAACTCAGGAATTACAGATTTTTAAAAAGTTGTAAATGTCTCAAATGAAAACTAAAGAATTTGTCCACAACACTGCATACTCAGTTCAACTACCTTACATAGCCGGTCTGTCCCTTAAAGTAAATACTGTAAATACGACCTGAAAAAAAAATATGAATATCCCGAGGTTTAATTGGGTCGTCTTCTATAAGCACAGTCAATAACTCATTTAATAATTTTGTAAATAACGAAAAAAGTTAAAGTCGGAGGGGATCATAAATATAAGGAAACAGACAGGATAAATTCTGTACAGTCATCCCTGAAGTATCATTCTTTGTGTGAAACATATCTGTTAAATATTCAAAAGCTCTTTTGATATCGTACTATTAGTTTTACTTTTTTACTGGTTGGATTTTTTTTTAACAAAATTTGTTTGTTTTTGTCTGACCAAGATTTAATTCTACCAACAATATAAAGAAGAGATTTAACTATGTTTGGTTTGCGTTTTTAATGTATTTTTATTATGGATTTTGATGATTATGTCGTTAGAACTGAGAGTCAACCCAAACCGAAAATTATATATTTTATGTAGAACATACTTTTTTCTTACCTACAGTGAGAACCAAAAAACTGTGCAATAAGATGACGGCAGTAAATTATTAATGAAAAGCAAACAATTTTACCAGAAGCTTGGGTCTGTTTCCGCTGCACATTTGCTGTGTCTCATGTTCGTAGGACTTACCAGACCTTACTTAAATATATGACCTATAATACCAGACCTTACCTAAATATGACCTATGTTACCAGACCTTACCCAAATATGACCTATGATACCAGACCTTACCTTAATATGACCTATGATACCAGACCTTACCTAAATATGACCTATGATACCAGACCTTACCTAAATATGGCCTATGATACCAGACCTTACCTCAGGGTTCCTCCCAGAGCAAATTTGGGTCAGTTTACCTGACCCAACTGACCTGCCACTTTCAGATTTTAAATTTTTGGGCAAAAATCTGCCCATTTAGGGAAAAAAATTGCCAATTTAGAGAACTAATCTGCCAATTTTGGGGAATAAACCAAATAACGCATAAAATATGCCACAAACATAAACTTAATGTTTAAAATTTGCCACAAAAATTATGAATGAGCTTTAAATCTGCCACAAACATAAACGTAATGCAAAAAATCTGCCACAAAAATTATGAATGAGCTTTAAATCTGCCACAAACATTATCTTAATGCATGAAATCTGCCACAAAACTTATGAATGAGCTTTAAATCTGCCACAAAACTTATGAATGAGCTTTAAATCTGCCACAAACATAACCTTAATGCATGAAATCTGACACAAAAATTATGAACTAGCTTTAAATCTGCCACAAACATAACCTTAATGCATGAAATCTGCCACAAAAATTATGAATGAGCTTATATCTGCCACAAACATAATCTTAATGCATGAAATCTGCCACAAAAACTATGAATGAGCTTTACATCTGCCACAAACATAAACTTAAAGCATGAAATCAGCCACAAAAATTATGAATGAGCTTTAAATCTGCCACAAACATAATCGTAATGCATGAAATCTGCCACAAAAATTATGAATGAGCTTTATATCTGCCACAATCGTAATCTTGATGCATGAAATCTGCCACAAAAATTATGTATGAGCTTTAAATTTGCCACAAACATAATTCTTATGCATGAAATCTGCCAAAAAAAAATAATGAATGAGCTAAAAAAATGGCACAAAATAATGTTAACACATAACAAATGCCCCAAGTTTTCACTGAAAGTATTCAGATACATAAAATCTGCCACAAAAAAAATCACCGATATGGGTAAAATCTGCCAAAAAATAATGTTAACACATAAGAAATTATATATAATTGTATGGACACACCTCTATCTAAAACCAAAAAAAAATTGCCACACATGCAATTGAAGCTTAGAAACTTAAATCCTAAATGCATATAATCTGCCACAAAAATTATTAACAAGCTTAAAATCGGCCACAAAAAAATGCCACAATTGCTATACCAGCTGACACATGCAATCAAAGCTTAGAACTTAAGCCACCTTTAATATTTGGGTGGAGGGAGGGGGCGGTGGATTTTCTAATGATTCCCCTCCCACCATCATGTAGCTGTAAAACCAGTTGCTTGTAGGTCGTTTGTGTAGTTTAGGGGATTTGACGTAGGTCAGAAGTTGAGTATAGCTGATGTGCGTAGGTCTGAGGCGTTTTCTGTTATTGGTTAAAACTATCGGTCTTTAATTGGTTAAATTAAGCGTCACGCATGTATTCCCCCTTTTAAAAGCTAATCAGTGCACGTACATGACTTCACAAAAAATTTTGAACAATAAAATAACAAAAACCCCTAAGTTTCATGAAAAATAGTAATGAAAATCTTAAGGGAGGGACCTGATTATTGACCTTTTTACAACACCAAAACGCTCTATTCTACTACCAAAATCCAAAAAATTTCTCTGCAAGGGGGGCTGCAACCCCCCACCGCAGAAAACTTCTTCGAAGTTTTTGCGGGCTGTGTGTAAATTCTGCCAGTTTTGTATTGTAATTTGTTAAATTAAGCATCACGCATGTATTCTCCCTTTTCAAAAGCTAATCTTTGCACATACTTGACTTAGAAAAAAATTTAAACAATAAAATATTTTTAAAAACCCAAAGTTTCATGAAAAATAATAATGAAAATCTTATAGGAGGGACCTGGTTATTGACCTTTTTACAGCACCAAAACACTCTATTCTACTACCAAAATCCCAACATTTTCTCTGCCACTTTTGCTTTTATCCTGACCTGGGAGGAACCCTGCCTTACCTAATACGACCTGTGATACCAGACCTTACCTAAATATGACCTTGTATCATTTAGCCAGGAAGGTGCTGACGGGCGTGATGTCTAACTCCACTAGGGTTGTCATAATAGATGATTATTCCAGAGTTTTCTGTTTCTTACTGTATTGTTTATAGATCGACTGTGTTTGAAGCAATGTTCACTCATGATATGACGGAGAACCGAAGTTCCCGAGTGTGTATTGAGGACCTGGATCCGGATACAGTTTACGATATGATTTCATACATTTACTCCGGCAGGGTAGGTTTATTTACTTAAAGGAACTCCAATTGTAATTTAAGTGACCTTCCATGCAAATAAAGCAAAGTCCAATTCGCAAAGGTACAGTTAAAAGCTTTGTATTGTGTAGTGTCTATACTGTATATACTGTGTAGTGTTTACTGTGGTCACTGTGGACTGTGTAGTGCATGTATGTAATGTGTATTTTTCAGTGTGTACGTACTGTATACTGTATTCTCCGTACTGTGTGCTGTGTACTAGCTATGTACTGTGTATTGTGTAGTGTGTACTGTGAAGTGTTTACTGTGGACTATGTAGTGCATGTATGTAATGTGTAATTTTTAGTGTGTACGTACTGTATACTGTATTCTCCGTACTGTGTACTGTGTACAAGCTATGTACTGTGTATTGTGTAGTGTGTACTGTGTAGTGTTTACTGTGGACTGTGTAGTGCATGTATGTAATGTGTATTTTTTAGTGTGTACGTACTGTATACTGTATTCTCCGTACTGTGTACTGTGTACTAGCTATGTACTGTGTATTGTGTAGTGTGTACTGTGTATTGTGTAGTGTTTACTGTGGACTGTGTAGTGCACGTATGTAATGTGTATTTTCAGTGTGTACGTACTGTATATTGTATTCTCCGTACTGTGTACTGTGAACTATCTATGTATTGTGTATTGTGTAGTGTGTACTGTGTATTGTGTAGTGTGTGCTGTGTAGTGTTTACTGTGGACTGTGTAGTGCACGTATGTAATGTGTATTTTCAGTGTGTACGTACTGTATACTGAGCCCAAAACTTAAGACAGAGTATCGTTATTAAACCAGTTTTGGAACCTGGGTTTCACGAATGGGGTTAGGTAGTTTTGTGGATAACAATATTTTTGTTATGAAATATTATTTTATTTGGTTTCTTCATATTCGCCATATTTTTTGAATCTCTTAAATCAAAATCTTCAGAAATGTTAAGACCCCAAAAAGGAAACTCGGGAGTTTCGTTCAACGATACTCTTTTAAATTTCGGGCTCTGTATTCTCCGTACTGTGTACTGTGTACTAGCTATGTACTGTGTATTGTGTAGTGTGTACTTGTATTGTGTAGTGTGTACTGTGTAGTGTTTACTGTGGACTGTTTAGTGCACGTATTTAATGTGTATTTTGTAGTGTGTACGTACTGGGTACTGTTTACTGTGTACTGTTTACTGTGTACTTTTTACTGTGTACTGTTTACTGTGTACTGAGTATTGTTTACTCTGTACTGTTTACTGTTTACTGTTTACTGTTTACTGTTTACTGTTTACTGTTTACTGTTTACTGTTTACTGTTTACTGTGTACTGTTTACTGTGTACTGAGTATTGTTTACTCTGTACTGTTTACTGTTTACTGTTTACTGTTTACTGTTTACTGTTTACTGTTTACTGTTTACTGTTTACTTTTTACTTTTTACTGTGTACTGTGTACTGTTTACTGTGTACTGTGTACTGTGTACTGTTTACTGTGTACTGTGTACTGTGTACTGTGTACTGTGTACTGTGTACTGTGTAATGTTTACTGTGTACTGTGAACTGTGTACTGTGTACTGTGTAGTGTGTACTGAGTACTGTGTACTGTGTACTGTACACTGTGTACTGTGTACTGTGTACTGAGTACTGAGTACTGTGTACTGTGTACTGATTACTGTGTACTGTTTACTGTACTGTTTACTGTGTAGTGTTCACTGTGTACTGTGTATGGATTGTACAAAATAAACTATTTAGGTTGTACAGTTAGAACAGAAGGCTGACCGCCTGCTGTCTGCTGCAGAAAAATACGACCTCAGGTCAATTTTGGTTTTTCATGATTGATGAATTTTTTCACATTTTTTATCTTTGCATAAAACTTAAAAAGCAGAGGCCGAATTCTAGGAATTTAAACCGCGTCGCTGAACTGCCAAAAACCGGTTCCAATTGAGCGCTCTAATCTCGAAACACTGAATACAAGTTCAAGTGGAACACTCCATGTTTGAGCCGTGTCTCAAATTTATGACGCAGCTCAAATTCTTTAAATTTGGCCTCTGATTCAGCATTTACGGTCGTTAAACTTATTCTTTACTTTTCTCAGGGCTTCTCGAATACATTTAAAACTTTACAACGCCATTTGCGCGCTAAACATTTATTTCTTTTTCGTTGCTGCATTCATTGATATTTATAATCATATTCATATCAAATTAAAAAAATGTTTTTAACTTAGAAGATACAAAAAAAGAGAAAATATTTTGACTTATTTCAACTTGTTGCAAATTTTTTTATGATGATTCTCGTTTAGGGAGCTGAAATCATTTTGTGAAGCCGCGCTCTGCGAAAACATCAACACTGACAATGTTTTGGGTAACGATATAATTAATTATCAGATTATTTCAGGGGATATTATGTCCAAAACTAACACTTCCATTTTCAAGAGTATATATCTTTAAATCCAAGACGAGTAGAACAAAATTACATCAAAAACACTCCCGTGGTTTTACCTATTCTCAATAAAAATCACAACCGGTTAAAAAGTTCCTGAGTTATGATCGGAAATCCGAACAAACAGACCGACAAAGAAAACGAGAATACTACTTAATTTACGAGGCCTTTAGGGCGCTTTACGACACTTGTCCTTTAAATAATTTTAGTTTTTAACTGTTGCTTTGAAAGTCGGCCATTTTTAATCATTTTCAAAATGTTACGATTTTTTATTCAAATTAGCGCATTTTCATTTTTTCAATTATGAGCATCCACAAACACATTTGTACCCAATTCGATTGAACTGCAATTTTAACATTTATCCATATATTAAAGCAAGACATTCGTATTATTATATATTTTGCCTATAGCCGGCCAAACGGCTGGACCGAATGGGCTGAAACTTTTTGTGGACACTCATTGGTGGCCGTGGGGTGTTTTGGCTTAAAAAAATGATTTTGTATATATATTTTTTAATTTTTCTTTTCTTCCACGGGCAACGCCGGGCCCTTCAGCTAGTTGGATATTAAAAGGCTAACAAACAGACATGACACGCAAGCCAAGTATATATAGATATAGATAATGTATTTAAATGATAATTTGTAGATTTACTGGTTCTTGCTGATCTACACGGAGCTAGCAGTGTGAGGAACTTGGCGCTAAAATTCATCGTTGAGAACGGGAAAGAGATAGTCAGTCAGGTTTACAAATATTAATTTAAAAACTTATAATCTTAATGTGGCTTAGCTTCCAACAAGTCAAATTCCTAACTCTTCCTATATAAAAGACTAACTCCTGAGAATGTGAACGGAAATATATTGGGTAGAAATTGAATTATCCTAAGTTTTCTTATCTGCCATTGAAAAGAGGTATACTTCAAGGTGTTAATAAGTAACTCAATAGGTTTGATTTTTTACTCATGGCATTGGTGGAAAATGGAAGCAATAGGTTGCAAAGTCTTAACAGTAATTCTGCACTAAATTAACCCCGTACTTCGCTTTGATTAATTTTATTTTTTATTTAGATTGGTTGGAGAGAGAAGTTGAAGATGTATCCTGAAATCATGGCTGATATGTTCGAGGCTATGACCAGGATTCCACACAAGCGCCAAAGAATAGGCTAAGCGAATGCGATTACGCAGATTCAGCAACAGATTTAACGCGGCAAACTGTGCAGTCCTTGCGCAATGTCCACTAAATAAACAGTTTAAGCGTTTTCATATGCGTCTATACTAGAGATGTCAACGATAGTGTAACGTAACGTAAAATGTACGTTTCTGTACGTTACGTTACAATAATGTGTAACGTTTGGATATATTCTATATAACGTGAACGTTAAACGTTAACGTTATAGGAGCCCATACCTAACGTTAACGTTAGAGGAATATACCCCCAACGTTAGCGTTTTGTGGAAATGTAACGTTATTTTTCTAATATCTACAAAAAATTTTACCATAACGTAAAGAAATGTTTTGTTTTCAAAGGGAGCTTGAAAGTCTTAACGTTTGAAAAAAGAATTGTGGTTTGATTGAATATCGTAACGAAAGGATTTCTATTTCAAAGTTCAACTTATAAAAAGTGTAACGTTGTATAACTGAAAAATGCATTACTGTTTATGAAAACGTTTTGAAACGTTTTCCCTTAAAGTATAATGAAAAATTCAACGTTGCAGAAATGGGTTATTATTTTAATAAACAGGAAGCGAAAGTTTTTTTTCAGAGTAAAATTTCAATAATGTAACGTATAACATTATTAAAAAAATGTAATTCTGTAAATCAAAACGTTTCATAACGTTTCTTTGAATACTAAATTGATTAATCTAACGTTAGATATATGTCTGATGAAAATGTTGTTCATAAAACGTTAGACTATGAGGGCTGAGTTTTAATTTCAAAAGCGTAACAATAATTCTGTCAATCAAAGCAAAGACTTATGGTTTATCATTTGAAGTTTAAAGAAAATGAGTTTATGCCAAAAACTCTAATTTTCATTTAATATATCTTTGCAACCCGATGTCGTAGACCATTAATATTGAAATATACAAGGTTTAAACCATCGGGTTAGAAAGATATAGGGATTAGTGAATTTGTAAAAAAAAATTAGTTCTTTTCTAAAGTGTAAACGAGTTTTTTTGTAACATGCTATTAGTGAAAATTCAAATCTTATAAATGTTTCTTGGACATTTAAGTTTTTGATTTGCCATTGTTTGATAAAGCTTACTAGAACTCTGGAAAAGGAAGACGACATTAAGAAATTTTACATATGCATTTTCTGTTCTAAAGCAAATGATTTACTAATTGCAAAAAAATAAACTTATTAAGTGGAACGGGTCTGTGAACAAACACAATTGCTATGTTTCATGTTTATTTGACTACTTGAAATCATAACTTCAGTTGGCATGGTTCATGTTTAGGTTGAAAAATTTAAAAATGTAGATACTTACTAAAATGCAACAATATTTTATCAAATCGAAAATGCGTGTTATGTTTTATTCATCAATGGATTTTTATGAAACTTTAGAATAGAAAAAAACTGATTTTTTAATCGATTTTTTTTAAAAAGAAAAAATGGTAAATAATTTTATTTCGCGTTGTTTGTGTTAAAAAAAATTAGCACTTGTCTTACTATATTTGATATTTTTAACCCCAAACATGAACTCTGAAAACATTTTCATTGTGGTTTGAAAACTAAAGCTAATGCCGCTTTTTTACTCACTTTGTAAGTAACATAAAAAAAAACACAAAAAGAACTAAAAATTCGCCGCAAATCTTTGCAAGCTGGTGTTGTAGACTTTTGATATTTCAAGCTATGACTTCTGTTAGATAAGAATGTCTAAAGGAATTGCAAGTTGTTCACAATCTTATATTTCTAATCCCTATATCTTTGCTACCCAATGTTGTAGACCTTAGATATTTTAAACTAAGAATTCTGTTAGATACAGGGTGTCCCACATCAAATTAGACCGCGTCAATGGGTCTAAATTACGATTTGAGGGACAAATCAGAAAATTTAAGAAGGAATAATTTAGAAAAATTAATAAGGCTAATAGAAATTTTTTTGGCAAAAAATGCTAGATTTTTCGAGTATTATGTGCGTATTTAGGTGTTAAAGATTGGAGATAATCTAATATGGTATGGGACGCTCTGTAGAAGAAAAGGGTCAGTCTGCATTGCGTAAAAAAAAAATTAACCCTAAATTAATCTAAATTAATTTAGAACTACTGCTCCACATGCAAAAGTGGTTTGCCTTGCCGAATTTTAACTCATTTTATGAAGTGTCCAAAAACATGTATATTTTTTAAGATCGTCAAAAACACGATGATAATTTCAAGTGATCCTCCATTTAAAGAGGGCCATGCTCGATTCCCAATGATAACTTGTATACCTTTATCTGATTAATTATTGAAAATTAGGAGTGTTTTCATGTCTTGTATCTTGCAAAAAATAAATATGATACATCATTTTCTAGGAAATGTCATGCTGAATTCAGATTCGAAAACCATTTTTAAATATATTAAAATCTAAAGAAGTTATGGCCAAATAACGGTACTAAATTCCGGTTTTAAAGCTTTTTAATGTTTTTTATGAGTTTTTTAGCTCTGACTCTCTCAATTTTCAATTTTTTTAAATGCTTTTCAGATTTGAATTTAGCATTGAATTTCCAAGAAAATGATGTTAAGCATGAAAATAAAAAATAAAATTTTTTTTGTGGCCTTACGGTGAAAACGCAGGGACTTCCGGTGGGCGGTTGGCTCTATTCCAATATTGATCACCCCTACTGGACAATGGACATGCCACTCCATAAATGTCACTTGAAATTACGTCTCTAGTCCCTTCAAGACGCACTTTGAGTTGAAAGTCTAATGCTAAAAACTTTCATTTACAAATTTTAAAAATCCTTAAACATAATAATATTATAACATCTTTATATTGCATAATGCATATTCTTCAGCACATTCTCTAAAAAGGTTAACAATACAACAGCAACGTACAGGGTGAGTAAAAATATGTAATTATCACGGAAAAAATCTGTCAATGCTTTCATTTAGAGACAATATTATTTTCATAAAGTGTAACGTAAGAAACATTAAGGCTTGAACATTTTAATACAACGCAATGTATAGAACATTTTTTTAAATCTTTCTTAAAAACGAAACGAATAAATAGTTTTGATTGTCAGTAGTAAAAAGTGTAACAAAAAAGTTTTCACAAAAACGTTTCGATAAATCGTAACGTAAGAAAAGGTGCATTTTAGTAAAATTTCTGAACTTAATTAAAAGAGTTTATATTGGAAAAGTTAAGATAAAACGTAACGGAGCTTACTATTTTTTCAATAACATAAAGCTTAACGTTGTATAAGTGCAGAAAATTCATTACGTAACGTTACTCTATACCATAAAATTTCATAATGTGCAACTTAACGTTTCAAACGTTAATACTTTTGATGAACACTATCGTAACGAAAGCTAAAATCTAGAAAAATCAAAACGTTGACATCTCTAGTCTATACTCTATCTATTGTAATGATACATTGCTCCAAAATTATTTTGCTGGTTGTCCCAATTACAATTAAGTGATAATTGAGAATTTATGATAAGATTTTCTAGAAATTAGATTTTTTTTCAATCGTCACTCAATTACAATGTTTATAATGACACCAGTTACTAAAATCTGTCTATATATTCAATTTTATTTTATAATTCTGAATATTAAATCTNGTAGTTTTTAGGGGCCAAGTTGTGAGTTACATAATTTCAACTGGATAGTGAATATACTTTCCAATCTTCTTATTAAAAACTTATTAAAAACTTTCAAACATCTAAAAACTTCTTGTTTTTATCAATGCTGAAATTCGTTTTTATACAAAAAAGTTTAGAGATGAAAAAAATTTTAAAGTTGCACAGATGATTGATTGTACGATATATATTCCTGTATTGTCATCAAGTATTAATACTAAATTTAAAGTAAAATATTGTGATCAATAATTCGAATATTAACATAATATATTGTTGTGAAAATAGGTGTTTTTTTGTAGATGATCTGCGAATTGTTTGAAATGTATGCTCCAGGGTTCCTCGTAAGCAAGGGCGTAAACAGAAATAAATCAAGGGTGGTGGACGAAATTTTTGCCCCCCTTTAGAGCTCCTAGGGGAGGGGGGGGGGCTAAATTTGAACTGTAAATTAAAAACATTTGGCTCTTTGGATATCAGGCATAAGTACAAGATACTTTAAAGGTACACATTACAGTCCAATTACCTTGCATGTACTATACTTTATCGCTCCTTTAAACAAAACTTTTAAAAAATATAGATTATTAGCTTTTTCCTTCACAGACTATGCAGAAAAAATGTTTTAACAAGGCACATTATAGAACTATGATCAAGAAAAAAAGTGGGATAGGTTGACCATTGACCAAGCTTCCAAACATCAATGCTATAAAAAATGAAAACAACTGTCAGTGAACATGTATATTTTAAAAATGAAATTTTATGGAGAGAACATACAGAAACACTCATAAAACAAGGACATTTTCTTTGCCTGGCAATGCTTGAAAAATCTGACATGATCTGGAAATCTTGCATGGTCAATCTGAATAAAGGTACTGTAAACTTGGTGAGAAACTCACGTATTAAGAACTCAATAAAGGAAACGTTACAAAGAGAAACTCAATATAACCAAGCCAGGTTGAATCGATTAAAGCACCAACTTAGCACAAACATTTATTTTACATTATTATTAAATACAAACTGCAGGATCAACCGAAGTTAATCCTTGAATCATAGATGATGCTAATTCTCCTCCTGGAGATTCTGGAGATCTTATCAACCCTTCTCCTTCGATCCTTCATCAAGACTGATCATACTCCGGTGCACAAAATGGCTGTCCAGTTTGCTTTCTCTGTCGACGAAAGTTCCGTTATCCGGGCTCCCTAGATACAGGGTCAATAGGGTTTGAATCTCAGCTCTCCATGGAAGTTACCTTCCCCGTTGGTACAGATGCCAAGTAACGGGTTAAATTATTGTTAATTCATTTACCCAGTCTTCAACTGCTGATAAGGCTTGGGTTGAATGAACTAGGATACAGTATACAATCTATATACAACTTTGGTGGGTTTACAGTACACCGAAATTTCTACTCAACTCCTGTTTGGACACCCTGCCAACACAAACTAACCTTCTACAATGGGGAAAATCTGCATCAGATATCTGTAAACTGTGTACAGGCAGGTGCTGAATTGCAAGGTGAAGACAAGAAACTTTCCTAATATTTTCGATCCGTTTCCGCTTTTTTTCAAAAACTTTATAATACATGAGTCTCTGGACAGAGGTCAAGATCATATCGAAAAAAAAAACAATTTCAACTACTACTGCAATAAACAAAAGATGGCCTCGGGAGGTTGTAAAACTTTTTGTAAATTTTAGATTTTTCAGTAGACTGAAAAAACTTAGTGTAAGCCTAAAAGAAAAAAACTAAAAAAATGTCAAAACAAATTGATCAGTTTATTTTTTACAGTTATGGTGTAATAAAATTAAAAACTTGACGATCTGCTTTTTTAAAAATAGAATGTATAAAATTCTATGAATAAATGTATTAAGATATGAATAACATTTTTTTATATAATCATTTCCCGAAAAAGTTTTTAAAGATACCATTATAAATCACAGGGGCGGATAGTTTAATAGTTTAATTCTGCGTGTTTACAAGAATATAGTAAATAGTTTAATTCCCGTGTTTACAAGAATATAGCAAATAGTTTCATTCTGTGTGTTTACAAGAATATAGCAAATAGTTTAATTCTGCGTGTTTACAAGAATATAGCAAATAGTTTAATTCTGCGTGTTTACAAGAACATAGCAAATAGTTTAATCTGCGTGTTTACATGAATATAGCAAATAGTTGAATTCTGCGTGTTTACCAGAATATAGCAAATAGTTTAATTCTGCGTGTTTACAAGAATATAGCAAAATAATACAATATATATCGATCCTTTGAAAATATAGATATTTTTGTTAGAAACGTTTCATCTCTATTTTCACCCTTAAAGCATGATTACACCATCGTGTTATATATAAGAGGGATTGTCTGATGATTCCACTTAATTATATAAAATAATTTATTAACACATGTAATATGGAAGTTGTTTGTGATTCAATAATTTAAATATAGTTAAAAGGTATCGAACTTTTTCATAAAAGGGGTTTTTTAAAGGGGGGGCACTATGAATTGCCAAGAGATGGCACTAAAATTTTTTCAAAAGATAGTTAAGTAAACACTAAAAACAGCATAAGTTGCTTGAATTTAAAATGGTTAAGATTTCGGGTTTGTAGGAGAATTAGGATGGTTGACTCGTGGTCTAAAAATCCTAAATTCTCCGAATGGCCCCTCCCCCACCCCCCGAACCCAGGTAGTTAGGATAGAGAATAGTTCCACCCCCTCACTGGAATAGTGGGGACAGGCGTCGTTCCTAACTTGGCGGAGGGGGGGATAGATAAAACTCCTAAGAATGCGCGATACTGGATCAGGCGCGCAACTAGACATTTGGTTAGAGGGGGGCTAGGAGGAATTATTTCGCGCGAAGCGCGAAAAATTTTTTGGCCCCCCCCTAAACATTTTTAGGGGGGGGCAAGAAAAATGTGTGTTATACTTAAACAATAAAAAACTAACCTTACCAACCGGATATTCAGTTATAAGTCAACACATCTGATATAAAATGAAACAAGAAATCTATTCTGGTCAGGGGCGGATACAGGGGGGGGAGGAGGACATTCGCCCCCTCTGACAGATTCAGGGAGGGGTGTAACCCCCCCCTGAATTTGGAATTTTTTGTTCTTATTTCAGAATAGCTTCTCAATAGCATGCTTAATTCGGAAAGAAACCCTAGTGCAAAACAGGAAAAATATCTGTCTTAATAAACTATAATGTGTGAAAAGTNCGCCGTGGGGACAGGGGGGGGGTGTTTTCCAGGGAAACCAACCGCTAGTACACTCTTCACTAAACAATTTAAAAATATAGAGACGTGGTTTGGACTTTTGAATAATTTTAAGAAAAGATAAATAAGGTTTTTTGTAAGTAAATGTAATCATATGTAAATTCGGATAATTTCAGTTTTTAGGAAACATTCTAAATACAATAAAATTGGAAATACAATTTCGAGTTAGTCGAAAAAATCTGTTATCTAAAAAATTATCATATATTTTACTAATTCTAATTTATTAGAAGTTTAAAAATTGATTTTGGAATTAAAAAAAATATTTCCGTTTGGTCAACCTGGCTAGACCGCTAGTGCTACCGGCAGGATGTATAACTATAGAGAGTAGAGACTTAGAGTACAGTATATACTGTTTACTATTGTAGAGAACTAATGGAGTTTGTACACTGAGTTTAGTCTGGCTCAGCGAGCTCTGCTCTAGTCTGAATATTACTATTAGTATACAAACATCTGTATTTATAACATATTTCTTTTTACATCAACTAAAGTTAATGTACAGTGAATTCCTCCAAACAAGAGAAGTAAAGTTTAATTATAATAATTTTTTGCAAGAAATTCTTTAAAAGTCCTTTGTAAATGTTCCAAAACTGAGCTTAATTAAATTGATATTGTCCATATATTGCTGATCAATTTTGTACTTAGATTTCATATATTTTACACATGGTCAAAGTTAGACATGTGGCCGCAGCGCGCGGCCCCTTATCCTATCCATGCCGCGGTGCTCGGCGTCCTAGCCTGTCCTAGCCGCAGCGCTCGGCCCAGAAATTGTCCTCGTCCAACCCTAAAATAATAAAAAATTAATTAAAATAATTTTGATCAAAAATAGATAAATATAGTTGGTTATGCACAAAATTAATAGGATCGGGGGGTTTAA